TTTTTTTGCTTCGCCATTATATTGTTTTATTTTTAATTAATCCAATCTCATTGGTTTTGTAATTACGTTGTTATCTTTGTACATTTATCCCACCCTGTGTTCTGTCAACATATCATCAGGTATATATACATATTAACTCTATGCACTTACTCAGTATTCAACTGATGAAGGTGCAAGAAGTAGCTCTGAAACGTCGTCGCAAATAATAAAATAACTGTCATGTGTGCATGATTATTGATAGTTGAAAGTGAATTGGACTTCTGTTGAAAAGATGTTTATAGTGTGATGACAGCCGAATCACAGGATTTCTGGCTTTTTAATGTAACAGTGTCAGTATTCTTTGAATTATTAACAATGCTAACTACTGTTTGACGTTTCAGGTTTTTGTAGATGGCATCAAGCTGTTTACTTTGAGTTATTAACTATGCTAACTACTGTTTGGCGTTTCAGGTTTTTGTAGATGGCATCAAGCTGTTTTCTTTGAATTATTAACTATGCTGACTACTGTTTGACGTTTCAGGTATTTGTAGATGGCATCAAGCTGTTTACTTTGAATTATTAACAATGCTAACTACTGTTTGACGTTTCAGGTTTTTGTAGATGCATCAAGCTGTTTACTTTGAATTATTAACAATGCTAACTACTGTTTGGCGTTTCAGGTATTTGTAGATGGCATCAAGCTGTTTACTTTGAATTATTAACAATGCTAACTACTGTTTGACGTTTGAGGTATTTATAGATGGCATCAAGCTGTTTACTTTGAATTATTAACAATGCTAACTACTGTTTGACGTTTCAGGTGTTTGTAGATGGCATCAAGCTGTTTACTTTGAATTATTAACAATGCTAACTTCTGTTTGACGTTTCAGGTATTTGTAGATGGCATCAAGCTGTTAACTCACAAGGTCCCTTCACAGTTATTGCCTCTTGCAGTCACGGAACTCACAGTTGAGGGAGACGTTCCATTAAAGGCTATCTACATTCAGTAAAAGGCAAGGTACGAAGACATCCTACATCAACATCTAAACAAACATGAAAATATCATTGGTTATGTATTATCCCTTTCCATATTACACTACACCGCACCGCACCGCACCGCACCGCACCGCACCGCACCGCACCGCACCCACCACTCAACACAACACGGCACCGCACCGCACCGCACCGCACCGCACCGCACCGCACCGCACCGCACCCACCACTCAACACAACACCGCACAACAAAACACAACACAACACTACACCACACAACACCACACTACACTACATTACATTACATGCGCTTAGACCATGCTAGCTCTTATTATCTTAATCACTGTGCACTCAATTTCCATCCTCAGCTCCCTGGGGAATATACAACCCAAGCATCCTGTGCGGAACTAGAAGACTAAAAGCGATCTCCATTTCCTCCTACTGGGTACCCATTCCCTACTTGGTGAACAGAGGCATATTTCGAACAAAGCCACTTGCCTACGTCGACACAACAGATGTTACAATATCTATCCATCTGTCATATTGCTCATGGACCATTCAATATTTCTTCGTGACACTTTGTATATGTTAAAGGGAATATGTCTAATCAGGGAACATGAATAATCCCACACATTTCCAGGGGCCTGAGGTTAGCAGCGCTTCGTTATTCGTTTTTCGAATATGGAAAAACAAGCCCGCACCGGGTTCGTTTTTCAAAGGCTGTACATTAAACTACAGTTATGAACCGGGTGCTGGTTTGTTTTTCATTATTCAAAAGTACTGAATAACTAAACAGCTTTTGGATGATGATGTAAGACGAACTTGCTGTCATATATTAAATGGGTTTCAGTGTTTTTGGCCACATTACTGTAGTTGTTGGGACAGAGGCACGGCAATAAAGTTTCATAACTTTGAAATGTTTGACTGCAGAACATTGAACTTTGACTGTTATATATTATGTAATAATTTGCTCGTAGAAATTTGGAACGCAAATCCGCATTGAAAACCTGAGGGATAGTCAGGTCCTTAACATAAAATAGTCCTCAGGACCATTGGAATGCATTTTGAGATGTACGTAGTTCGATCTAAGACAGGGCAGCTATAGTAGATGTGCTTTGGACATCACAAAGTCAGTTCTTCAAACAGGAAACGGAGTCTTTGCATGTGACAGTTACGTCAAGCATAACAGTCGTAAAACCTTGTACAAGTTGGTTGGTTTATTGTTTAACGCCGCACTCAGCAATATTCCAGCTATATGATAGCGGCCTGTAAATAATGGAGTCTGGACCAGACAATCCAGTGATTAATATCATGCGCATCGATCCATGCAATTGGGATCGATGACATGCATCAACCAAGTCAGCGAGCCTGACCATCCGATCCCGTTAGTCGCCTTTTACGACAAGCATAGTCACCTTTTACGGCAAGCATGGGTTGCTGAAGACCTATTCTACCCCGGAATCTTCACGGGTCAGCCTTGTACTAAGTGTGTCCACCACTGACCAGAATGACAACAAGTACATTTCCCCCGATGAGTGAGTGAGTATGGTTTTACGCCGCTTTTAGCAATATTCCAGCAATACCACCAGAAATGGGCTGCACACATTGTACCCATGTCGGAAATCGAACCCGGGTCTTCAACGTGACGAGCGAACGCTGTTACCACTAGGCTACCCGACCGCCCCTTCCCCCGATGAACTTGACGTAATTGCTGCAGATTGTGTCGCCCTGGCTTACGTTGACGTGTACGTTAATTTAGCTCACCTCACAGAAGCTCAATAGGTTTGAGCTTTGGTGACATTAACGGGCAGGCGTTACGTTTATGTTCCGAGCTTTTGGGAAATCAGCAGAGACTCGTACTGTGTAGGAACGAGCTTTGGCATGCTGCGAAATGGCGCTTGGTGCTTTAACAAGATATACTCACCGCTAAAAGAAACGCGAACTTTAGAAATATAGAAGTGTGTACGTTAAGAAGAGATGTTTCCAATGTGTACCACTAAATGGCAAAACTAACAATCAGGCAAGTGTTGCCACGGAATGTCTTCATGCTTATCACGATAATCACGTGATTTCCGAACTTTACACGCTGATCCTGCACAAGACAACTGGTGCATCTCGAGTCATGGATCTGTGACGTCACATGTGATGCGTTCATAATCGTCTGTTCACATAACATAACTGTATGTTCGTTTGAGCATCGACCCAATCTAATATCTAATATGAGTATATTCTTCATACATTAACCAACAGGTATGGTATTCGCGTTTCTTTTGTCGGTGAGTATATGACGGTTCCGCACATCAAGACGCTTTCTCCACTAATTCTGCCGACGTTTTGATACGCATGGATCTTCTCATGTCTCCTTAAAAGAATAGTGATACAGGATATCGCTACTTAACAAATGTTGGGTAAGCCACTGATGAATAATGCAGTTAGTAAACAGTTACGGGCTTGGGACAGTGCAGGGAGTGACCAAGTTTGAGGTTTCGGATGTTGTGATATTTGGATGTGGTGGTGGTATGAGGTTTCCCTCATCTTGCACACTATTTAGTTGTGCCATGCTGTTGATATGCCATCGTGCCTAAAGCCGGGAACTTGTGCTCGAGGAAACATGGAATTGCCTTGTCACTGAGGGGGGTGATTCACCATCTACCAATATCTGATACTATTGCCTTGGCCTGACGATTTTCCAAATTGACTTCGTTAACTGAAAGAGTTGCGAATGAATGGTTTCTGAAAACGATAAGGGTCATAAACTTGACCAAGAAACCTGTGACAAATTTATCTGATTTTCACTTTCCCAATACAATTTACATACTTCAAAGGTAGTCGATAGTTCCCCCTTTTAAAGACAATAAAATCCGTTTTGTGACACTTTATCAGTAAGAGAAGAACATGTAGACTTTCTTTATATATAACAGTGCAAACTGGCATACTTCCAATGAACGAAATTCACTTCTGAAAATACTGTTACAACCAACGCGGTTTTGTTTTGTGAGTTCGAGTCCTGGTACGACCTAATTATGTTTCTAGGTTCGCCAGCACCATACCCTTGCTGGTAAACGTCTAAGACCTGCATCACGTCAGGCTTTCCTCCCACATAAACCTGACACGCCGTGATATAACCGGAATACTTAAGTGCAAATAAAGGGAGAAAATTCATTGTAGACTCTCAAATACACACAAAAATGTTGGTAATAATTATAAACGTGGAAAACCTGCATCAGGTTGGACATTCGTCCCACCTCAAAGTGACCCTACATGATCTACAAGTACAAGTCATAAATAAAATTGCATCGGACATCATTTTGGTCACTGATGCTTGGAAATGTCCTCCACTTTTGTAATGCTTTACTGAGGCCTTGGATGTTGACACATTGCTCAAACAACAGTTGAGCAAGAGTCGTGTGACGCTCTTTGAACTGGCTGAAGAAAGAGCATGCTCGATTGTATCTCAGAAGTTGTGAAATGTAGACAGCAAACGCTTGGGCTGCTTAAATAGTGCTCGCATAAAGGGAAGGTTGCCTATTTGAAGGTGAAGTTATCCCTCGTGTCTTGTAAAGAGTGTTTTGTCACACTGAATCTTTATGCATAGATCTAAATATGAAACAGGAGGCGCCCTCACAGGTCTCCTTCATTTCTAGTTCAGGTGGGTAAATCAGGTAAAGAGAACTTGCTATTTGACTGTTACTTTACGATATCAGACGATCCATATACCTGAAGCTTTAGTTAAACTCCTTGGCCAATTGCCTTGTTTTGAACTTGCCAATCCGAGAATAAATTCCAATTCATATTCATAGAGCATCAGATTGACAAGAAGAGGAGCTTCCTTGGTGACCAGTCGGAGGCCTACGTTGTGCCTAAATCTCCCAATTTAACAAAGATGTTTTTTGTGTGAAAAAGTCCAGTTTGTCATGTATTGTTTTCTTAGTAATCATCATATAACATTTGCTTTATATTTTTACAAATTAAGCGGCGTCAACCCCTACCGACTCACTCGCTCCCTTTAAAAACAACATTTGAACATGTTTCAGTCGAAGTTTTTTTACCACTGACTTCAATAGATGTTACTGACTGACATCAGACTTCCTTTTCGCAAATGAAGTGCGACTTACCATTGAAAGCATAACATGGAACATCATTCCATAAATAATTACTATAGGACCGTCTCATTTCCAGACAATGTTCTCTCCCCTTGTAATTATCAGGCTGATGTGGAGACCAGTTGCTGTAGACCATAGGACGCCGTCCCTCCCACAGCCATCTCCCCTCCAGGTTCAGATCAGTCGCACCAAGCCAGTAACTTTCAGCTGTGAATACCAAATTATTACTAATGTGAAGTTATACCATTATTCAATCATATGGAGGTTGAAAATGTTACCACGTTATTGTAGTAGTAGGTACGCATGTATGCCAATATGTGTTGCAATACACAATACAAAATATTTAAAATGATACAAAATTTCAAATCTTAGCTTTATATGACTTCTAGTAATAATTTGACTTTACAAAAGCACCTTTCAATTTTGAAGCTTTTCCTACAATTTGTGACATACATCCATGTAAGATTTCAGCCACTTTAATGCACTTTGTTATAACTTTTGAGTGTAGCCCGAGTTAAAAACAAAAATTAATATGAACATTTATCATATGGCAAACACGTGTGTTTAACCCCACCCTGAACCCCCTACTGAATTCACCTGAACCAAATTTTATTTCGACATATGGACCTTAATTCCCTAAATGTTTCAATATGGCGGGTGAATTCTAAATGTTTAAAAAAGATAACCTTTTCCCCTTCTGATAGCGTGGCCTCTTAGAAAGTCGTCCTCATCTTTGTTAGCGATGGTTGCCAGGTGGCTCTCCATGTAGCGACAGTAAGCCTGAAATATTATATAAATACACTGACGCTTCGAATGTATTGAATCCACTTGATGCAACTATAATCCAGGCAATTATTGCTAGTATATTACACAGAGTAAGACAAGTAGGGCATTGTTTATCCTCAGTGGCTACGAATGACTTGATGATAAATTCCCACAGGCGTGATTGGTCGCATGTATTTGATACTTAACTGTCATACTTGCCACACACTGGATAGCAACGCCATGTTCCGTGTGTAATAGCTTAGAGCATAGGTGCCTAGAGCATAGTTGTTGTTTTAAGTATTTACATATAATTTATGGACTTTTACAAGCACTCTTATAGTTACACTTTCTCAAACAGGATTAGTGTTTTTGTCCTAACGTTTGCCTTTACCTTCTTTAGGCCCTGCTTTGGAAGTATTTCCAGCTCAGTAATTATATTCTTGAAACATTGCTTTATCATTTCAGATTTTAGACAGGGTTATCTCTACAGCATGGAACTTGTGTTAGGTAAGAGTGAGTGAGTGTGTGATTGTGGTTTTAGGCCGCTTTTAGCAATATTCCAGCAATGTCACGGCGTGGGAAACCAGAAATGGGCTTCCCACATTGCGCCCATGTAGAGAATCGAACCCGGGTCTTCGGCGTGACGAATGAACACTTTAACCACATGGCTACTCCACCGCCCGTTTCAGGTAAGAACAACTACTATCGCTCGCTTCAGCAAATGAACCGTTTATGTTGGAGAACCAATAGCAGGATGCCCTGTGCTGTATAAACCCAAGATGACAAGGCTGTGTACCTGGAAGAACAAGAAAAAAAGTAGTGTCGTTTAGGCAGATACGCACCACGACATTAGATCTCTTGATTAAGAATTAAGAAGGGGAGCCATAAAATGTCCCGATTACCTTGACGGGACGGACGCCTTGTCCACATGACCAAAGAGGGATGCTATATACTTCTCCGTCAACAGAAGGCAAACCCCGAGCCGCGTGGTAGGGTACAGAGCCTTTATTTGCTTAAATGTAACATGAATGTGCTCAGCCCCACGTTGGCCGCCAATGTCACAGCCATAAAGTGAGTGAGTTAATATTTTAAGTCACATCGGCAATATTTCATCCATTTCGTGACTTTCAAATGTTATACATGAATTGCATTTGAAACTAAAAAATCCTGTCGTCAAAGGACCGTACAATAACTAGAATATCACAGGTTTGTTTAAAACTAGTGTTATAGTGCGCAAACTTGCTTAATAATTCATATCAAAATCTATATCTATACTACCAAGTCACACTGCACCTGAATAAATCTTGGAACGCTAGCAGCTCTGATGTCATCATTTATTCTCAATTCTTCCATTCTATTTTAAGGTAAGACATTTTCATGCATTGTTTCAATGGTTGTTTTCATTCATGTTGAATGTGTATTATGTTAATAGTTGAATGCACAATGCTCGTATGCGAGCTCTGCATAAAGTAGCTAAATAACATTTGTATTAGAAGAACTACGACAATGCGCGAAACTGCATTACCGTAATATATCTACAAATACGTCTGTCATTAATGTTGCATTATTTCAGCTGACATTGGTATTGTGAATCATATGTGTTGTCTTTGTTATTGTGCCGTTATTTAAAGTTCCATCCTGATCTATTTGTGTATAATGTAATGGTGATTATTTGATATGTTAAAAGATTGAAGCGAAATGCTTATTGATTTATATTCTGAGTAGTTATGTCATAAGAAACCACGCCGTTATGACAATTATTTGTAATGATATAATTTATGATTATTAGATATGATTATGTGATTAATTGAATTGAAATGTTTATTACACACTGCACCTGAATAAATCTTGGAACGCTAGCAGCTCTGATGTCATCATTTATTCTCAATTCTTCCATTCTATTTTAAGGAAAAATTACTGTGAGACAGCACGTTCTCACTATCTTCAATTGTCCATTTCAATGGGTATCTCAAACGAGTGCGAAACAAGGTCGCAATGTACATATAGCATGCATGCGGCATCGTCGTGTTGTAGTCTTAGTGAGTTGGAAGTGGCAGATATACACACCATGTAGAACTGGATGGTGTTGTTAAGGTGAAGGTCACTTTGTCCCCATTCTTCAGACTTTCACTTACAGACACCTTTCTCTGCAGATACAACATTAACATTGGCAATTAACAGCTGGAAATATGTTGTATAACGAATGTAATATAAAATAAATTAGCTTATGTAAAATCAAGTAAAATTCCTTCTCTCGTGTACTGATAAGGATTGTTTGCTTTCACTCCGAGAAAGTTACTCAATAACATGCGCAAATCTTCAAATACTTGTTGGGGGCACGGGTGGCTCAGTCGTCTAAGGCGCCGCGATTCGCTGTGCAGAGTTGCGTCCCTTGGGCACGCCAGAAACCTATGATTGTGGGTTCGAATCCCGGTTCGCCCCGATTATGTTTCTAGGTTTGTCAGCACCATACCCGTGCTCAAGGGTTTCACCGAAGTCGTAAACGTCTGAGACCTGCATCACTTCGGGCTTTCCTCCCACACTAAGCTGACACGCCGTGATATGACTGGAATACTGTTAAAAACGGCGTTAAACCCAACTCACTCACTCACTCACTCAAATACTTGTTCCTTATCAACGTATGTAATATCAAATACAAAAGGGTTATCTTAAAAATTATGCAGCCACTGAGACCGCCTCATTTGTTTAATCTATAGATCTGTGCATAAAGAGTCATTTCCTTTTCAAATTAGGGATGGAACTAGTCAACTTACTTTATTGTTTTCATTGGTCACATGATTGGTGTGGCATGATCGTCTCCGTATGTTGGTGCCATAAGCCAGCTGAGCAAGGAGGAACGAGCCATTTGGACATTGAAGCTCTTCAGTGGCAGCTGTTCCTACAAAATCAGAATATAATATGACGTAGTTTTTCGGAAAACTTATCCAATTTTACGCCGGGGAACTTACAAAGGTCAAAATGACATGTGTGTAAGCTTTGAATTTAGAAAATATTCCTTACTGAGTGGTCAATTTGAGGTTTCAAATCACATTGACAACCTCTGATTGAAACCACTGATGCGGTGAAATAAGTATCACAAATGTGTTTGTTAGGGCCTACTCTGAATGTCACAAGTTTAAAATAAAACAGAAGCATACCTCATAAATTTTGTATAACGGTAATGTACTGACGACATATGGTGGCTGTCAATGTTACATCTCATAAGGACACAACCGTATATCCCTGTTTCAATAATAATAATAATAATAATAATAATAATAATAATAATAATAATAATGATAATAATAAAAAAAAGTTCTTTTCTAATGTCTTTTTGGCAACATTTTTTATCAGAGACGAAGCAAGGTAAAAGACGGAGGGTCAGTCAGTCCACAAATACTTATGCTGTACCCGTCCTTACGTATTCTTTTGGTGTTTATTGATTGGACGAAACAAGAAATGCAGGGTATTGACACCCTCACACGAAAAGTCATAGATCCCATATCAAAACTCGTGATGAAAACAAAGGCATTCCACAGTTTCCTCAAACGAGGCAAGGGTGTTGGACATTATCTCAATTTCGGTGTTGATTTTGTTGATGGTTCTGTACTGCTGGACGGTATCGGGTTTATGTGCAGTGTGTTTAGAGGATCATCAACCCTGCAGAGTCCTTTGTTTGGGTGAGGTCAGCTGGCCTGAAAAGTGAAACGGAAGGCTTTCTATTTGCTGCTCAGAACCAGTCACTTCCCACTCGAAACCCTCAATGATTGTGTAGCTCGATCATTTTATTACCGTCTTCGCTATGCTTGTAGTTTGACACGACCCAGGATATGTAGAAAGTGTCATGGAAAATGATGAATTTCAAAAGTCTTTGGAATAGGCCCGTTTACAGCCTCAAACGTATCCAGCCCAAAAAATCTTATCTTGTCCTTTTTGATAAATCCAATGAAATCATTGAATTTTCTGTCCCCTTTGACACGAATGTGATTGACAAGATTGAGGAAAAAATATGTGGACCTCGCTTTCGAAATGTCACACTTGTATCCCAAGTACCAAGTTGTCTGACTCCCCATGGTTCTCGGTGCTTTAGGCTTGGTACCTCCCAATCCGTTGACTGACATTGGGAGAGTACCCGGGTTTGCTACCAGGAAAACAGCCCTTCTGACAATCTGGGAAATGCAGAAGGCTGCAGTGTTGGGGAGATTTGACATTCTTGGAAAAGGTCTTGGTAGGTTTGACTGGGCAGCGCATTATTATCCCTAAATTACCTGATTCAGATGTGACTGATGACCCACACATCAGTTCACGACATAAAATACCTATTGTTGGTCTCGAAGATTTTGAGTTTCCAATTCCGACCCCTCTTCTGTCAATGATCTTTGATGGCCCGTTGTATATATTTTGTGTATATCATCACATAATATCCCAATCGCTCAATAATAATTAAGTGACAAAACCCTTTCCATGAGCAATAAAAATCTCTATTGTACGATTCCGACTATATCTATAATGATACCAGGTGTACACGAAAAGTTGAGCGTATCCTCCCGGCACAAACACATGCAGAGGCAAGTCAATTGTTGACCTGAAAAAGTAGGGAACATGTGGACACATTTTTTGTCACTGATGCATCAAATTCGGAAATGTCCTCCACATGTCTTCCATAAAACGTTTTGAAAGCTTTACTGAGGCCTTGAATTTCCAACTGATTGGTAGACGGAATGATTTCCCTGCATTTCCCGTGAGCACATTGTTCCACAAATGAAGGCTTTGGTACGTTGGAGCAGAGAAAGATGTTTAATAACTGCCGCAGTAACATCTCTCTTCAGTAGTGTCAGACCAGTTAACAGACTAAATGATCGACAAAGTCATCCTGATTTATTTCATACAGGTAGTGAACATGATACGTACACATAGAAATATAATCTTTGAAAGTCAGTAAAATCAATCATCAGAATACAGATAAACAATCAGGTTATTTCTCTCCTTTTTGTAAAATATATGTAAACCTTTTACATTTCAATACATTGTATTTAATACTTCATGGCTTACATTAACTTTTGATCAAACAGAAATAAATATTTACATCCGAGTAAACTGGAACGGAAAAAAATGAAATACACTAACACATCAACACGTATTTTCTCAGCTTATATAGTATTTTCACGTTACATTAAACGAATGTGATATGCCTCATATAACATTAACGTTTATGTTGTGTTTTTTTATTTTGATTAATGGCGGTGCCCAATCAAGACGATCTGCTCGATAATCAAGATCTATATTGTGATAAAACGGGTTTTACCTGGCGAAGTGCGCCAAATCACATGAGCACCTTGATTAAAACGTGAAACGACTTGGAAAATATAATAATGTTGACAACGAGTTGGCGGTGCACATGCTTTGCAAATCATGCAATCGACCGAAATCTGTACGACAGTTTACTAACCGGATTTCGATTTCGGTGCTCGAGTTTGATTTGGCTATGCATAGACTCGTTATTCTAGCCAAAATGTTACTCCATAATACCAGCCTAGTTCGGCAAGGGTGGAAACTGGACTTTTATAGTCAGTTAACTCCCTTGACTCGGGAAGATGTAGTCTGTGATGACCCGTTGTATATATTTTGTGTATGTCATCACATAATATCCCACTCGCTCAATAATAACAAAACGACAAAACCCTTTCCATATTCAATAGAAATCTCTGCATCAAGCAGAGTCGATTGTTCGATTCCGACTATATCATGAACATGTGTTTATAAATCACTGTCAAATAGTAATGATACCCAGTGGACACGAAAAGGTGAGCGTAACCTGCCCCGACGGATGCATCCGACATAAAACACATGCAAAAGGCAAGTCAATTGTTCACCTGAAAAAGCACGGGATCATATAGTACAAGACAAAAACAGGAATTGCATCGGACATATTTTTGTCACTGATGCATCAAATTAGGAAATGTCCTCCACATGTCTACCATAAAACGTTTTGAAAGCTTTACTGTGGCCTTGAATTTCAGACAAATTTACCTCTTGTAATGTAACAGGAGCACACACCAGTCATTTGATCGGACTGATTGGTAGACAGAATGATTTCCCTGCATTTCCCGTGAGCACATTGCTGCACAAATGAAGGCTTTGGTACGTTGGAGCAGAGAAAGATGTTGAATAATTGCCGTAGTAACATCTCTCTTCAGTAGTGTCAGACCAGTTAACAGACTAAATGATCGACAAGGTCATCCTGATTTATTTCATACAGGTAGTGAACATGATACGTACATATAGAAATAGTATCTTTGAAAGTCAGTAAATTCAATCATTAAATTTACAAATTAACAGTCAGGTTATTTCTCTTCTTGCCAAAAAATATATGAAAACCTTTCACATTTCAAAACATTTTATTAAATACTTCATGGCTTACATTAACTTACACATCAATACGTATTTTCTCAGCTTATATAGTATTTTTATGTTACATTAAATGAATGTAGTATGCCTCATATAACATTAACGTTTATGTTGTGTGTTTTTATTTTGATTAATGGAGGCTCTTGGCAGGAAGGAACTTTCTTAATTCAGGAGCAATATTTCTGTAGACTTGCTATTGAACTTTGCATTATTTCATATTGATAAGTTTATTCAGCACTCTTATCTGATCCGCATTTTGAGAAAGACAACAGCATAAAAAAAAAACCTACGCAAATTGTATGTGTTATTTTGCGTATTTAGGGACTGAAGTCATTGCAAATAGTGACCATACATACCCATTTCTTTCAAATTTAATACTCCCCACAGAATATTCGGTCTGATATATCCAACATAAACACTATATGACAACTAATGGTAAATTGTTGAGAAACAATTACGAATGTGCTTCAAACCTATACTAAATGGACTCATTTTGACTATTCATCACTATTCAGAAGTTAACAAGGGGGGATTATGAATACAAATAAAAGCGACAAAACTCTTTTTCATATTCAGTTGAAATCTATGCTAATAGCAGAGTCGATTGTACGATTCCAACTATATCATGAGCAGGTGTTTAGGAATCACTATCAAATAGTAATGATACCAGGTGTTCGCGAAAAAGCTAATTGTATCCTGCCCCACCGGTGGCACTCGTCACAAGCACATGTTAAGTCAAGTCACTCGTAGACTTTGATAGATGTATTGTAATATCTTAGTTAATTTTTGATTAGGGATACCATTAAAAGATAATATTGTGTTAATGGAATAGAGGTACTTAGTGATATCAGGCATATATTTCAATCTTAGGTTGTCGTTAATTGGACATATAAACAAAAAGTGGAATTCGTTTTCAATATGGTTTTCGCAGAATGGACAAAAAAGCGACCCCTATGGCACATCAAATCATTTAACCCTAGCCTAAGTTTAATAAATTTGTCTCTAATTTGTCTGTCTGTTATAGTATGCAGGTAAACCTCTGGTCTTAGGCAATATTTAAAGGTTTTATAAACGTCGTAGCGTGCACTGTTATCTAGTGACGACCTCCAGTTTTGAGTAAACATATCAATTGCTACCTGCTTAAAAGAGCTAAGAAAATACATTTGTCTCCAACGCTTTGGTTAAGCCAAACATATCCAAATCCATGAGAGAAGAGTAAATGCTTAATGTTTGATGACCAGGTTACGTAACCAACACTATCACGATAAACAAGCATTTCGTAGCCATTTCTTGGGATTCGTTCCCGCGACATCTGAGTAAACGGTTGGTTGTGTCATGTTACTCAGGTGGTGTAATCCATTGCTATTTTCAAATGGTATCAACTTACGTAGATTCTATGTTGCTGACTGTTGCATAAGCACAAAGGAAATAGTTAGTATCAGAGTATTTAAACTGCCAATCAACGTTACCCCTTGTTAGGACACAGGTGTAGCCCCCCGCTTCCAGTAGACCTGACTGTTCGTCACACTGCATGAACTCCTCACAGTTCCCATCAATGCAGAGGGCGCCAAATGAAGGCCACGGAAAGAGAACAATGTTGAACAACTGCTGCAGCAACATCTCTCACAGAAGCTATGACAGATGCTGGCAAGACAGTATAGTCCAATGAGGTATATATTGATCGAAAATAAGACATCAATAAAACCAATCGTCTTCAAAACACAAAGCAGTAACGTTTGAATAGCTTTGACTTGTCTTCTTTCAGTACAACATGATTGCCATTTGATTTGGAACAAATATAACAATATAATTTACATATTTTATGAACAAGCTATAAAACAATTTTGATTTCTTCTTTGTAAGTTTACATTGTTATTCAGTTATAATGAATCTCTGAGCCAGATCATATATCCCCGGGCCTTCAGGGTGTAAACATTCTTTTGCATTGTAAATATAGTTGTAATGCCCCAGGACATATCCTGTCATATCGGTGGATGATCGTTTCGGTGGTGTCTTAATCGCTTCAGCGCCATGTCACAATTGATCACATGAATATGAGGAAATTTCGGATTCATTCAAGAAAAGGTGAAGCATTTTCCAATCATTTAGTACAGACTTACAGAGTACTTGTCATTTGTCATGGTTGTGTCAATTGTCACTCGTGAAATGACTTGTTAACAGTTTAAATCAAGAACCATTGCCAGTCACCTATGCATGAAGGGTAACACCACCTAAGTCAGTTCTCGAGGCAAGAGTGTTTGAATCTTGTCGATTGTCAAGATCTATGCTTACCTCGCGAAGTGCATCAAATCATTTCAAATCATTTGATTATAAACGTGAAAAGATTTTGAAAATATCTGTCGAGGCCAAGTTGACAGTACCCATGTTTTGCACGTCAACGTCACTCAGTGTTTAGAAGTGGGGTATGGCTCGCCCAGTCGTCTGTGCAGAGTTGCGTCCCTTAGGCACGCCAGAAACCTATGATTGTGGGTATGAATTCCCGTTCGCTCTGATTATATTTCTAGGTCTGTTAGCACCATACCCGTGCTCGTGGGTTTCACGTGGCAAACGTCTGAGACCTGCATGACTTCGGGCTTTCCTCCCACATTAATCTGACTCTCCGTGATATAACTGGAATAATTTCATAAGCGGCGTTAAACCCAACTCACTCACTCACTCATTGTTTATTAGATATCCCCCAGTTTCTGTACGCAACATATTGAGCAATATAACTGGAATCTGACAATAACGTCATGCAGGACTTCATGGTTGGAGTCATATTTTGAGAATATTCTCAATAGCCTCCAATGAAGTTCAAGGTCATCATAAAAAATGAAAATGCATTACTATTCTGGTGGCATGTAAATAATCAAATACGATCCAGGTAAACTGGTAATTTACAGGAAGAACAAAACTACGACTTGTCGACACCAAGAACAATGTTCTACTTGAACATCAAACACCAAAACTGTTCAACTTACTCAGCATACTGTGAGTCCTCTGCCTACAGGTCATATGCAGCCTTTGGTGTTTTTCGGAGCAGCAGGAAATAATGTTTCCAAAGAACAATTGTTACTGAGGATAGACTGTGGATTTGTTTCGGTTCATGTTTGTATGAATAACAAAAACGATGTGCAAAGCGTCTGAATCCACGTAGGTGTCGATTTCTTTCTATTTGATCAGGTATAAATGTCAACTGTGTGGTACTTATAGAGAACCATTCAGATGAAACTGACGAGATATAGAACCTGAAGAACAGAAATCATCCAGGCCATTGATCACCATTTCGTGGAAACAAAAGACCAAACAGATAGATGGGATATTGTCAGATACTAATGCAAAGAAATACATTATGCCACATAAACCTCCAGTGTCCCAGCCACTGCTTCTTCTTGCTATATATTCACAAACAACTGGTGCCTGGACAAAATCATGTGCGTGCGTGCGTGCTTCAATTATTGTCTGAATCAGGTATTACCATTAAAACATCAGAGTTTCAGCAGTTTCCAGGCTGTGGTTTGGTAGAATAACGAGTACAATACAGTATGACGACAACCTGTGCATGCGTGCGTGCGTATGTGCGTGCGTGTGTGCGTGTGTGCGTGTGTTTGTAATATTCAATCAACATTGCTGACTTGACGGATAAGAACATCTCAATCTGGCTTCAATTATTGTCTGAATCAAGTATCACCATTGAAACATCAGAAGTTCAGCAGTCTCCAGACTGTAGTTTAGTAGAATAAAATCCGGGATTGGAAGCTAACTATATACTAATGATGTCATTTGGCATTAGGTTATAGCAATAAGATGGATCAATGCATTGTATATCTATGAATACAATACTGACAATAATGTATTTTTCGACGAATACATTAGATATGAAAATATCAGAGCTACCTATCTTTACGTCTTCACGACCTCAAAACTCTATGAACCTATAGGGCATCAGTCGTCTTTGGTGTTAACATTTCAAAGACAAAGGTACATTTGAAAGTGTAATTTAACAAGTGCAAAGATACACTTACTGCAACAGTATCACAATAGCTAAGCACTATTGCGATGCCCATAATATAGTTTACTGTCCCAAATGGACACCAGAACCTTCAAGTTAAGGATCGAAACATCTTGTTCCACAATGAAATGTAGCTGCTTCTGAAACAATATTTCAATAGAATGTTTTAACTAGAAAGAAACGTTATAATTTTCTGAAACTTTTCTAGGATATTGTCCAGGAACTTGTTTAGGAACTTGTCCAGCTCTCTGGTGTCCTTTACGCTTACGAAATACATATTCCACTTTTCATCGTGTCTCAAGCTAAATGTAAAGCAAGGCAGCTCTTGATCAATAAAGGAGCACCAACTCATGTTACAAAATCAGGATTTATAAGATAATTATGTTCTTATAGGTAACTCCTGCCTTGATGATGCTTTCGCGAATAACTGGTGTCATCATCAATTTTCAGTGGTCAATTCATATTATTTTCACAGCTATTTTGCTCTTTAGGCCAGATGGAATCTGTTTCGACCAGTTTTTCTCTTGCCTTGTGAATTTAAGTTAACAGAGGTATGTTGATGTTATTTGAAACTCCTGACTGACCGTCGAATAAAGATATAGTGGTGAAAACAATTATACAATATCATGATAAACAAGGCCAAGACTATCGATGTTCTTATTGCTTGAGTATTGCTGGAAGCAGCATTAAACCGTAGTTATTCACACATATCCATCTGGTCTGCTTGTAGAGCGGAAGGTTTGTGTTGAGGTCCTCGGCCACGTCTTATTAAAAGGCCTTAGCGTTTGCACTTCTTGTTACAGAACTGACCGGCTCTAGTTAGAATAATGTGTGTGAGTGGAGTTTCCATGTTAAAACTGTGTATCTGGCTAAAACTGGTTAGCCCTATTAATCAGGCAGGAATCCTGACTAAAATGGTGCCGGCAAACCAAGAAACATAATCGGGCGAACCGGGATTCCACCCAACGATCATAGGTTTCTGGCTTGCCCAAAGGGCCGCAACTTTGAGCTTACACGACTGGACCACCCGTCCCACCTAGTCCGGACTTGTACAAGCAACCACACACAATGTGCTTGCACGTCGCTATATAAGTGAGACGAGGTGAAATGGTGTTTATTGGTTGACATTTTACAGCAAGGCGAAGTCACATGTGTGTGTGGCTGCTTGTACTTGTCAAGACTAATTATAATACAAAACATTATTCTTTTATAATCCAAGGGTAAACACAGATATTCATATTAAGAGCGTGAATAGGATTTATTTTTAGATTTCAAAGGTACTATAGTCTCGAAAGATTTGTCAGTGGGACATACAGATCTACTTATAGTATATGGTCCAAACTATCACTAAAAATATGGACAGAGGTATTAAGTTTCAAAATCGTGTAATGCTTGTGAAATATTTTACCTTCTTACACATATTGACTACAGCAAAATCTCACAAACTCAGAGTCCTTGGAACTATTAAAAAGTATACCCAGTACAAGAAGAGGAATACAGATCAGGATTGTGTCATCTTAAAAACAAATCGAATTATAGTACGCGCAGTTTACAATGCTATATTGCATTCCATGTTGATATCCTGAAATATATTAATTAATGTAAATTGACTTGATTTGGACGTCTCCTGTCACTGTGAGTGTGTTCATTGTCTCCGTCTGGAATTCCTTTGGGACTTCATGATTGAACAGCACATTGCCATCAACAGATACCTGAAATTACGAATTCAATTTTATCATAGATTGGTGAAAAGTAACGTTGATACACTTAAAATCTAAATGTTGGCACGTCCATGACGCTATGAATTTATCAGCATGTTTCAAAAATCTGTCAAGAAAATCAACTTGGGTCAATGATTTGTTCTTGTTTAAAGTTTAGAAATACCTCACAATAGTCACACATTTCAGCCTTTGTTACACAATATCTGCACTTCCTCTACATTTGTTGCTCTGATAAGACTTAAACATAGACGTGTCCAACTACTCCTTTGCTTTTTACACACCTCATTACTTTTAAGATGATTTCTGAATCTATAAAATTTTATATTATTCAGATCTTCAACTGGACAAATTAGCCTTAATAAAAGTAGTAAATATTATTAAATTGCAGGAATGTATTGAATAATAAATTGACAGTCTCTATTGTTTTCGTAAAGGTACTTGATTCATCCTCTAAATCAAGGTCTATCCCTCGACACCACTACCGGAGGTGAGAGAGAAGGATTCCAAAACATCATGGCAGAAGTACAGAAAAATGACACTGTAGCGGATACAGGAATAGAACTAGCAAAGACAATGTATATAAACCATCACCAACACCTCCAGTCGTACATATGAAGCACTCCGTTGTGCAGTACACTTTAACAGTTTTCCCATTTCCTAAATTCATTAACATTTACCAGTTTTCTATTACAGTGCTCATAATTCAAAATAGAGTTTGTTTTGAGACGAACCAAAGAAGTAAAAAGAAGTAATAACAGAACAATGGCAATTTTCCAATGTGGCTGCCTCAAATTGAGTCATGTAAAAATTGTCAAATGATGCCGTAGCTGCTATCACCTGACAATCATTTTGCTTCATAGGTAGTGTCGTTTCACAAATATTTTTGGACATTATGTACAGGTATTTCTTTCTTTGAAGGCTTTAAGGTCTCTTAGTTGAAATGCATGACCCGAGTCTCTCATTTTTCGGCTCCATTATGATCACCAAAACGCGGAAATGGACCCCGTATTGTGTATGATCATGTAAAACGTCCATGTTGTACCTGAAAGTCATTCTCCCCTAATACCACTTCTAACGTGAATGTCCTGTTTGCTAGATTAGGGCATCTTTCTGCAGTATTCCAGTCTGAGCCAGTTCTTCCTTTGCTGCTGGAATAGTCCATGCATTGGAGAGGAATTCCTTCATCAGTTTCGCCTACAGATATGTCCAAAGAGGCGATTTCGGGATTTTCCACGGTGATGCCAAACCTTCAAATTGAACACTTACAAATTAAGGTGAGCTGAACAATAAAGATCTTGTAGGAATGTTAACTTTCAAATAGGGTCAAACGGAGAATGCTTGAAAAATTAAATGATTAAATTATGCTTTCACACTTGTCCAATCTCATGGAGGAAAACAGTAAAGCAAAATGCACATTCGTAACTCGTGGTCGTGGCTATAAACAGGCAAGTTTAAGCCAATATTTTGTCATTCAATTGTCAACATTTTTCAAGTTCGAAAATGCCGAGACTCAGCGCTGCCGTTCGGAACATCGCCATAGGACGTATCCAAAGAGGGGAATCGCAGTCTTCTGTTTTGCTCACCACTTCAACGTCCACAACAGCACCATTTGCCGCCTTTGGGACCGATACACACAGTTCAATTCCACTGCAGAGCAGTCGACCAAGAGTTACCACCCCTGCACAGGATCGCTACATTCCACTGTTCCACCTACGTCATTGCCATGTCACAACTACAGAGACTGCAGTACGCATCCCTACTTTGAGGAGGATATCGGACCAAACTGTCGGGAACCATCTTCGCGAGGCTGGAATTCGACCCAGAAGACCAGTTATCGTCCCTGTCTTGCAACAGATCCATCGACAGCAACGCTTGCGTTGGTGCCATACCTTTCAGCCTTTGAATTTGAGAAACTGGAGACGAGTGTGCTTTAGCGATGAATCATGATTTCTTCTTCATCGGCGAGATGGAAGACAACGTGTTTATCGTGGTCGAAATGAGCGTTTTGCCCCACATTGTGTACGTGAATTCGACAAATTCGGTGGCTGTAGTGTCATGGTGTGGGGGGCCATATCCTACACCATGAGATCTGACTTGGTTGTGGTTCAGGGAAGTTTGACAGCAAATCGCTACATGACACAAATTCTTCAACCTCACCTTCTTCCAATCATTGACCGCTAGAGGGAGCTGTTTGAACAGGACAATGCTCCTCCACACAGCTCGTGTCACGTTAGACTACCTGCATAATGCCAACATCAACGACTTGCCCTGGCCGTCGAGATCTCCAGATCTCAACCCAGTCGATCACTTCTGGGATGAACTCGATAGACGTGTACGTCAACGTCAGAACACGCCGCAGACACTCCCACAACTGGCCAATGCGTTTCAAGCAGAATGGCACAGAACTGCGCAGGAAAGAATTCGTGCACTTATCCAGTCATTGCCGAAGAGATGCAAGCTGTGATTGCTGCCCGGGGCGGTCACACGAGATACTGAGTTCAGCGCTACCTTGTGGCCTTATGTGACATGACAATGAACGGTTTTCAATGTGTTCGTACACCGACAATATGTGACTATCAAATTCCAAAATTTCATATTTGTATCTATGATATGAAATCAAATATATATTGACTTTATTAGATACAATAAATTTACTAAAAATCTACTTGTGCATTTCGTTTTTTGAAGAGTGTATTAATATCACTGACTTTTGCTATCACCACTGATTTTGTATTAGATACAGACCACTGCTATCATATTGTCTATTGTCATTGGATATTGTGCTAACACGATATTGTGTACTGCCATTGTAATTGCTGTGCAGTTATTTGTATCGATTTGTAAACCTTGTGAATTTTGTTTTGGATTTTTGAATATAGACTTGTTGTTGGTTGCTTTTGGTTTAACGTACATATTTATGGGTTAACACATTGATTCAGTTTGGGAATAGACACGTTACAGAACTGTCATACATGCTAGCTTCAATTGTTTCCATTTCAAGGTAAAAAATGGGCATCTCAAACGAGTGTGAAACAAGGTCGCAATGTACATATAGCATGCATGCGGCATCGTCGTGTTGTAGTCTTAGTGAGTTGGAAGTGACAGATATACACACCATGTTGAACTGGATGTTGTTGTTAAGGTGAAGGTCACTTTTTCCCCAGGCTTCAGACTTTCACTTACAGACACCTTTCTCTGCAGATACAACATTAACATTGCCAATTAACAGCTGGAAATGTGTTGTATTACGAATGTAATGTAAAATAAGTAGCTTTAACAAAATCAAGTAAATTCCTTCTCTCGTGTACTGATAAGGAGTGTTTGTTTTCACTCAGAGAAAGTTACTAAATAACATGCGCAAATCTTCAAATACTTGTTCCTTATCAACGTATGTAATATCAAATACAAAAGGGTTATCTTAAAAATTATGCAGCCACTGATACCGCCTCATTTGTTTAATCTTTAGATCTGTGCATAAAGAGTAATTTCCTTTTCAAGTTAGGGATGGGACTAGTCAATGAAAAAATCCAGAATATTTCTAGACTGCCAATGCCATTCCACAACCAATCAGACTGTAGTATCAACGTTCGGTTTGCGAGTAAAAAAACAATTACAAAGAAAACTCCAATATTTCAATAACTATCAATCGAGGGGTACTGTATCCTCTAATAGTACCGATATGCAAAACAGGACACATCATATTGTAACAATGCTACACAGTCCCTTGTTACTTACTTCATTGTATTTATTGGTCACATGATTGGTGTGGCATGATCGTCTCCGTATGTTGGTGCCATAAGCCAGCTGAGCAAGGAGGAACGAGCCATTTGGACATTGAAGCTCTTCAGTGGCAGCTGGAACTTGCAAAGGTGAAAATGGCATGTGTGTAAGCTTTGAATTTAGAAAATATTCCTTACTGAGTGGTCAATTTGAGGTTTCAAATCACAATGACAACCTCTGATTAAAACCACGGATGCGGTGAAATAAGTATCACAAATGTGTTTGTTTGGGCCTACTCTGAATGTCACAAGTTTAAAATAAAACAGAAGCAGACCTCATAAATTTTGTATAACGGTAATGTACTGACGACATATGGTGGCTGTCAATGTTACATCTAATAAGGACACAACCGTATAACCCTGTTTCAATAATAATAATAATAACAATAATAATAATAATAATCGCAACCTGAAAAGTGAAACGGAAGGCTTTCTATTTGCCGCTCAGGACCAGTCACTTCCCACTCGAAACCGTCAATGATTGTGTAGCTCGATTATATTATTACCGTCTTCGCCATGCTTGTAGTTTGACACGACCCAGGATATGTAGACAGCGTCATGGAAAATGATGAATTTCAAAAGTCTTTGGAATAGGCCCATTTACAGCCTCAAACGTATCCAGGCCAAAAACTCTGATCTTGTCCCATTTGATAAATCCAATGAAATCATTAAATTTTCTGTCCCCTTTGACACGAATGTGATTGACAAGATTGAGGAAAAAATATGCCGACCTCGCCTTCGAAATGTCACACTTGTATCCCCAGTACCAAGTTGTCCGACTCCCCATTGTTCTCGGTGCTTTTGGTTTGGTACCACCCAATCCGTTTACTGACATTAAGAGAGTACCCGGGTTTGCTACCATGAAAACAGCCCTTCTGACAATCTGGGAAATGCAGAAGGTTGCAGTGTTGGGGAGTCTTGACATCCTCCGAAAAGGTCTTGGTAGGTTTGACTGGGCAGCGCATTATTATCCCTAAATTACCTGATGCAGTTGTCACTGATGACCAACACATGGGCTCAAGACATACAATTCCTATTGTTGGTCTCGAAGATTTTGAGTTTCCCATTCCGACCCCTCTTCTGCCCGTTGTATATATTTTGTGTATATCATCACATAATATCCCACTCGCTCAACAATAGTAAAGCGACAAAACCCTTTCAAATATGCAATAGAATCTCTATTGGACGATTCCGACTATATCATAAGCATGTGTTTATGAATCACTAATGGTACTAGTCAAAATAAGGAATTGCATCTGACATATTTTTTTGTCACTGATGCGTCAAATTCGGAATTGTCCTCCACATGTCTTCCATAACACGTTTTGAAAGCTTTACTGAAGCCTTGAATTTCAGACAAATTTACCTCTTGTAATGTAAAAGGAGCACACACCAGTCATTTGATCGAACTGATTGGCAGACTTAATGATTTCCCTGCATTTCCCGTGAGCACATTGTTCCACGAATGAAGGCTTTGGTACGTTCGAGCAGAGAAAGATGTTGAATAACTGCCGCAGTAACATCTCTCTTCAGTAGTGTCAGACCAGTTAAAAGACTAACTGGTCGACGAAGTCATCCTGATTTATTTCATACAGGTAGTGAACATGATACGTACACATAGAAATAGTATCTTTGAAAGTCAGTCAAATGAATAATCAAAATAGAAATTAACAGACGGGTTGTTTCTCTTCTTTTCGTAAAATATATGAAAACTTTTCACATTACATTACATTACAATAAATACTTCATGGCTGACATTAACTTAACAGAAATAAATATTGACATCCGAGTAAACTGGAAAGCAAAAAATATGAAATACACAAACACATTAATAAGTATTTTCTCAGCTTATATAGTATTTTCACGTTACATTAAATGAATGTGGTATGCCTCATAAACATTAACGTTTATGTTGTGTTTTTTTATTTCGATTAATGGAGGCTCTTGGCAGGAAGGAAGTTTCTTAATTCGGAAGTTATATATTTCTGTAGACTTTCTGTTGAACTTTGCATTATTTCATATTGATAAGTATATTCAACACTCTTATCTGATCCGCATCTTGAGAAAGACAACAACGTAGAATATCCTACGAAAATTGTATGTGTCATTGCAAAGACACCCTTCAAAAAAAGAAAGGCACAGGATTTTTAGTAAATTCATTGCACCTAATAAAGTTGATATATTTAATTTAATATCATGGATACAAATATGAAATTGTGGAGCTCGATAGTCACATGTTGTCGCTGTACAAAGGCATTGAACACTGTTCATTGTCATGTCACATAAGGCCACAAGGTAGCGCTGAACTCAGTATCTTGTGTGACCGCCCCAGGGCAGCAATCACGGCTCTGGATCTCCTCGGCACTGACTGGATAAGTGTACGAATTCTGTCCTACGTAATTCTGTGCTATTCTGCTTGTAACGCTCTGGCCAGTGGTGGGACTATCTGCGGCGGGTTTTAACGTTGACGTACACGTCGATCGAATTCATCCCAGAGGTGATTGATTGGGTTGACATCTATAGATGTCGACGGCCAGGGCAAGACGTTAATGTTGTCATTATGGAGGTTCTCCACCGTGACACGGGCTGTTTTCGGTGGAGCCTTGTCCTTTTGCCATACACATCTATTTCTTTGTTTGTTTGGTTTATTGTTCTGTTGTTTAACCCCGCACTCAGCAATATTCCAGCTTTTTGACGGCGATATGTAAATAATCGAGTCTGGACCAGACAATCCAGTGCTTGACATCATGAACATCGATCCACGCAATTGGGATACGATGACATGCATCAACCTAGTCAGCGAGCCTGACCACCCGATCCCGTTAGTCGCCTTTTATGACAAGCATAGTCACCTTTTACGGCAAGCATAGTTGCCTTTTACGACAAGCATAGTCGCCTTTAACGGTTGCTGAAGAGTTATTCTACTCCGGCTCTCCACGGGTCGTATCAGGTATAAACGTTGGTTGTAATTATATGGTGGAGAAAAACAATTTCTTTGGTGGTGATATAGTGTAGTAATCAGACATATCACAGTTTTATCATACATTGCAACTCTATTTTGACAAGGAATTTGGTCGAACTTGAGGCTTCATTTTCAGCGGTTCATTCATATGGTTTTCACATCCATTTTGCCCTTCACGCCAAATGGTAATGTTTCTGTGGGGCCGCCTCCGTGGTCTAGTGGTCGTGCGTCTACCCAGAGAGAGGAAGGTCCGGGGTTCGATCCCCGACCGCGTCATACCAAAAGACTTTAAAAGATGTCACTTGTTGTTACCCTGTCTGGCGCTCGGCATTAAGGGGCGAAAACAAGGACTGGTCAGCTCGGAGTCAGTATACTGTGTCTGAGTTGGGTATTTATGTTAAACTGCAGCATGGTATCTTAGTGAGCTAGCACTATAAATCAGCATTAGTCTCGACTAGTACAAGCAGCCACACAAACACACACACTACATGCACGTCGCTTTATAAGTGCAATAATCGTGACGCGACGCGATGTTAAACCCCATTTCACCTCACCTCACCTGTTTCTGCGGATAATCAAGACTAGTTATTTATTCACTTGTATTGACTATTGCTATTTTAGTAAGCTTCTTGAGCTGCAACAGAACATAAGAGCCGAACATTTGTATATTATCCTTTCTTTCTCTTTCTCTTTCCAACGAAACGGAAACTGTAAACTGGATGTCATCATAAGAATTGTCTTGGTCAGCTCATCATCAGTCAGTGAGTGAGTGAGTATGGTTTTACGCCGCTTTTAGCAATATTCCAGCAATATCACAGCGAGGGACACCAGAAATGGGCTACACACATTGTACCCATGTCGGGAATAGAACCCGGGTCTTCGGCGTTACGAGCGAACGCTTTAACCACTAGGCTCATCAACCTCCCTGGCTCATCCTCAGAGATACGAAGAAACATTATCTATGTCATTTACATTTTCATTCAGATAAATGATCTCGTTCAGATTAATTAATATTGAATGCAAAATAACAAAGAACAAATCAATATTGTTTAATAGCTTCATGTCTTATGTTCGATCAATATCCACATGAAGCAGATGTATACCTTATTTGGATTTTACTGTCAAGCCATACGAATCCAGTACACATCATCATCATCACATTAACCGTTTGTTTATCATCGCAATTACCGGAGCTACCTGTAACTCCGCACCAACTTCCCCAGTCATCTGTTGATTTGAACCAAAGGTAGTGTGTACATTTTATGATTTTGGAAAGGATCACTTTCATTTGAGAATTGTTTTAATTGTTTATAATGACATTGCAATAGTGCTTTACTGTTGCAATTACTATGGCAATTACGTTAGTAAAGTGTCCAATAAAGACACATGAAAAAATACTGTAATAGTGGTATTAATCCCAACAACACTCGCCCACTCACTGGGTTCATTTATCACAATAGAAGTAGACATACCTACATTTTGGCCTCGACCAAGAAACTGCTTCCAGGATCTAGTGGATGGAGACCTAGGTTCGGTCCCCTGGCCGATGATAAAAGTTTGTACTTGCCATGATCCTGACTGGTGTTCAGCATTAAGGGGCAAAACCAACGACTGGCCACCTCAGAGTACAATTGGGCTGTGCAGGGTATCCATGTCAAACTGTGGCAAGGCAGTTCAGTGCGCTAGCACTATAAAACTGAGATAAGGACGGTCCAGTACAAGAAGCCATATACAACTGATGCGTCAATTTTGGAAATGTACTTCGTATGTCTACCATAAAATATTTTGAAAGCTTTACTGATGCCTTGATTGTTGTAACTTTGATCAAACAACTTCTGAGCAAGAGTCGTATGACGCTCTAAACATTCAAACCATGTTTAAGTTAGCTTTAAACTGAAGAAGTGGAGACTTGATACTCCAAGATAGTGAAAAAAGACAGTGAAAGGTATCTAAATTAGTCAGTATTTATGTCACCAGATGCCACGATCATAGTCACCGTTGGAACAAATCCTGAGTGAGTTTCATGGTGCTTTGAATAAATAATACTTCATGTTAATAATGCTGTGCTATCTGAATGAAACAATTCGTAGACCTTTATACATCTTTGGATGGTCCAACGGATATGAACCTTGAAGACTTCATGTTAATAATGCTGTGTTATCTAATAGCACGCGGAACACTCTGAAAGAAGCAACACTTGGACCTTTATTCGATGGTCCCAAGCAATAACCATAATTAGGGCAAATCAAACACAGGATCGGCGGGTCCTGGTATGGTTTAGGGTCGAAACTCACACGTCGAACTATTGTAGGTTAAACGACTGCATATTTTCTGAAATATCTGAGTTGTTTCTACAGAGGACCATATTTCTGAATGAGAGCCTAACGGCTGGGGCCAATGTAACCTTCCACTGTGTTCCAAACATAAATGCACTTGAGTAAGTATATCTTATTTTTCAACAACTTCAGATTCGTTGTCTCATGGCGGCACATATGTTGATAGATACACAAGTTCTCCAAGGCCTCAGGCATCACAGACACATCCTCGTACACACACGATTCCAGAACATAAACGATAACAGCCAGGGCGATTACATTCTTATGTCAGTATACAACGAAAATCATATTTGGTGTAATGCTCGTTTCTGTTAGAACTTAAAAACTTGAAATTCCTATTTTGTCTTTTAAACAGATTGTATATGTGGTGATTGACTTCTCAGGTGAATTCCATGTACAGCAAATTTATATCTGTTAGATGTTTGTTGAGTACATTATTTTGTGAATTATTTGAACAGTTCACGTCAATGGCGTCCACACAAACAGGGAAAACCAACCATTAAAGTGTGATACAAACACAATTCTTTTCTTCCATGCTTGTAAGGAAATGCAGTCGAACCCCGTTATGTCGAATTTGGATGTGTCGAATTCACGGTTGTCTCGAATTCATTTGGGAGTCCCAAGTATCCAAATTAAGTATACAATTCCCCTGATGTATCGAACTTGGATATCTCGAACATTGTTTCTAGGTCTCCACCAGTTCGACACAACGAGATTCAACTGTATATTTTGTGAAGTGTATGTGCTTGTATTTTGAAGGTGTGAATTCTCCCTTGGTAACAGCGACGTTGCGCCGATAGAGATTACTGTTAATCTGTAAGACGTTCCTCCATTGATAACGTATGGAAGCTACGAAGGAGGTGGCGCGTTTAACTCACATGAGGCAGAAGCAGGCCCAAATCTTGCCAACAGAGAATTCAAGCTAGATGTTCTGTTTGGCGAGGGCGCCTTTAAGGTAATCATCGAAACTTCTTCCTAGAAATGAAGATGACATTAAAAACTATATTTCATAGGATGCGTTATCCATAAACTTTCACGTAATATTTTGTGGAGGCAGTTAATGCGTAATGAGCATACTGTATTTTCAAAATGGATTTGGAATTTGGAAATTTCGTCCCAAAAACATTACCTTCCTATGTCAGTATTTAAAGGACAAGCATTTTCTCATAAATATTCTCCGCTTTAATGATGCAGTTACTTGAAACAGTGGGATGCTAATGCTATTTGAAACCTCTGATCGGGTTCGATCAATCTCTAAAAGTAAACAGAGAAATACTCTATAACTCACGCTGCAGTGATAAACATATGGAATTCCAATATGTCATGAATACATTGTTTCTTTGCAAAAACATCAGTAGCAAATTTTAACTAGGTATCACCTTCCATACCCTTGCTTGGTTTGTCTGCTCTGAAGCGCTTGCACTCATCGCCGCACACCCAGGACATGTCAGGGCCGTCATTTTCATGTTTTATTAGCTTCGCCATCATATTGTTATATATGTAATTAATCTCATTGGTTCTGTAATTACATTATCTTTGTACATTTATCCCACCCTGTGTTCTGTAAACATATCATCAGGTATATATACATATTAACTCTTTGTACTTACTCAGTATTCAACTGATGAAGGTGCAAGAAGTAGCTCTGAAACGTCGTCGCAAATAATAAAATAACTGTCATGTGTGCATGATTATTGATAGTTGAAAGTGAAATGGACTTCTGTTGAAAACCGGTTCATAGTGTGATGACAGCCGATTCACAGGATTTCTGGCTTTTTAATGTAACCGTGTCAGGATTCTTTGAATTATTAACAAGGCTAACTACTGTTTGACGTTTCAGGTTTTTGTAGATGGCATCAAGCTGTTTACTTTGAATTATTAACAATGCTAACTTCTGCTTGACGTTTCAGGTATTTGTAGATGGCATCAAGCTGTTTACTTTGAATTATTAACAATGCTAACTTCTGCTTGACGTTTCAGGTATTTGTAGATGGCATCAAGCTGTTTATTCACAAGGTCCCTTTACAATTATTGCCTCTTGCAGTCACGGAACTAGACTATCCACATTCAGTAAAAGGCAAGGTACGAAGACATCAGGCTTCAACATCTAAACAAACCTGAAAATGTCATTGGTTAATTATTATTCCTTCCTTATTACACTACACTGCACTGCGCTGCGCTGCACTGCACAGCACAGCACAGCACAGCACAGCGCAGCACAACACCGCACGACACAACACAGCACAGCACAGCACAGCACAACACCGCACAACACAACACAACACAACACAACACAAAACAACACTACATTACATGCGCTGAGACCATTCTAGCTCTTATTATCTTAATCACTGTGCAGTCAATTTCCATCCTCAGCTCTGGGGAATATACAACCCAAGCATCCTGTGCGGCACTAGAAGACTAAAAGCGATCTCCATTTCCTCCTACTGGGTACCCATCCCTACTGGGTAAACAGAGGCATATTTCGAACAAAGCCACTTGCCTACGTCGACACAACAGATGTTACAATATCTATCCATCTGTCACATTGCTCATGGACCATTCAATATTTCTTCGTGACACTTCGTATATGTTAAAGGGAATATGTCTAATCAGGGAACATGAATAATCTCCCACATTTCAAGGGGCCTGAGGTTAGCAGCGCTTCGTTATTCGTTTTTCGAATATCGAAAAACAAGCCCGCACCGGGTTCGTTTTTCAAAGGCTGTACATTAAACTACAGTTATGAACCGGGTGCTGGTTTGTTTTTCGTTATTCAAAAGTACTGAATAACTAAACAGCTTGCTGTCATATTTTAAATGGGTTTCAGTGTTTTTGGCCGCATTACTGTAGCTGTTGGGACAGAGGCAAGGCAATAAAGTTTCATAACTTTGAAATGTTTGATTGCAGAACATTGAACTTTGACTGTTATATATTATGTAATAATTTGCTCGTAGAAATTTGGAACGCAAATCCGCATTGAAAACCTGAGGGATAGTCAGGTCCTTAACATTCGATAGTCCTCAGGACCATTGGAATGCATTTTGAGATGTACGTAGTTCGATATAAAACAGGGCAAATATAGTAGATGTGCTTTGGACATCACAAAGTCAGTTCTTCAAACAGGAAACTGAGTCTTTGCATGTGACAGTTACGTCAAGCATAACAGTCGTAAAACCTTGTACAAGTTGGTTGGTTTATTGTTTAACGCCGCACTCAGCAATATTCCAGCTATATGATAGCGGCCTGTAAATAATGGAGTCTGGACCAGACAATCCAGTGATTAATATCATGCGCATCGATCCATGCAATTGGGATCGATGACATGCATCAAACAAGTCCATCCGATCCCGTTAGTCGCCTTTAACGACAAGCATAGTCACCTTTTACGCCAAGCATGGGTTGCTGAAGACCTATTCTACCCCGGAATCTTCACGGGTCAGCCTTGTACTAAGTGTGTCCACCACTGACCAGAATGACCACAAGTACATTTCCCCCGATGAGTGAGTGAGTATGGTTTTACGCCGCTTTTAGCAATATTCCAGCAATACCACCAGAAATGGGCTGCACACATTGTACCCATGTCGGAAATCGAACCCGGGTCTTCAACGTGACGAGCGAACGCTGTTACCACTAGGCTACCCGACCGCCCCTTCCCCCGGTGAACTTGACGTAATTGCTGCAGATTGTGTCGCCCTGGCTTACGTTGAGGCCTTGGATGTTGTAACATTGCTCAAACAACAGTTGTGCAAGAGTCGTATGATGTTCTTTGAACTGGCTGAAGAAAGAGCATGCTCGATTGTATCTCAGAAGTTGTGAAATGTAGACAGCAAACGCTGGGGCTGCTTAAATATTGCTCGCATAAAGGGAAGGTTGCCTATTTGAAGGTGAAGTTATCCCTCGTGTCTTGTAAAGAGTGTTTTGTCACACTGAATCTTTATGCATGGATCTAAATATGAAACAGGATGCGCCCTCACAGGTCTCCTTCATTTCTAGTTCAGGTGGGTAAATCAGGTAAAGAGAACTTGCTATTTGACCGTTACTGTACGATATCAGACGATCCATTTACCTGAAGCTTTAGTTAAACTCCTTGGCCAATTGCCTTGTTTTGACCTTGCCAATCCGAGAATAAATTCCAATTCATATTCATAGAGCATCAGATTGACAAGAAGAGAAACTTCCTTGGTGACCAGTCGGAGGCCTACGTTGTGCCTAAATCTCCCAATTTAACAAAGATGTTTTTTGTGAAGAAGTCCAGTTTGTCATGTATTGTTTTCTTGTAAACATCACAAAACATTTGCTGTATATTTTTACAAATTAAGCGGCGTCAACCCCTACCGACTCACTCGCTCCCTTTAAAAACAACATTGGAACATGTTTCAGTCGAAGTTTTTTTGACCACTGACTTCAATAGATGTTACTGACTGACATCAGACTTCCTTTTCGCAAATGAAGTGCGACTTACCATTGAAAGCATAACATGGAACATCATTCCATAAATAATTACTATAGGACCGTCTCATTTCCAGACAATGTTCTCTCCCCTTGTAATTATCAGGCTGATGTGGAGACCAGTTGCTGTAGACCATAGGACGCCGTCCCTCCCACAGCCATCTCCCCTCCAGGTTCAGATCAGTCGCACCAAGCCAGTAACTTTCAGCTGTGAATACCAAATTATTACTAAAGTGAAGTTATACCATTATTCAATCATATGAGGGTTGAAAATGTTACCACGTTATTGTAGTAGTAGGTACGCATGTATGCCAATATGTGTTGCAATACACAATAAAAAATATTTAAAATGATACAAAATTTCAAATCTTAGCTTTATATGACTTCTAGTAATAATTTGACTTTACAAAAGCACCTTTCAATTTTGAATCTTTTCGTACAATTTGTGACATACATCCACGTAAGATTTCAGCCACTTTAATGCGCTTTGTTATAACTTTTGAGTGTAGTCCGAGTTAAAAACAAAACTTAATATGAACATTTATCATATGGCAAACAAGTGTGTTTAACCCCATCCTGAACCCCCTACTGAATTCACCTGAACCAAATTTTATTTCGACATATGGACCTTAATTCCCTAAATGTTTCAATATGGCGGGTGATTTCTAAATGTTTATAAAAGATGACCTTTTCCCCTTCTGATAGCGCGGCCTCTTAGAAAGTCGTCCTCATCTTTGTTAGCGATGGTTGCCAGGTGGCTCTCCATGTAGCGACAGTAAGCCTGAAATATTATATAAATACACTGACGCTTCGAATGTATTAAATCCACTTGATGCAACTATAATCCAGGCATTTATTGCTAGTACATACACAGAGTAAGACAAGTAGGGCATTGTTTATCCTCAGTGGCTACGAATGACTTGATGATAATTTCCCACAGGCGTGATTGGTCGCATGTATTTGATACTTAACTGTCATACTTGCCACACACTGGATAGCAACGCCATGTTCCGTGTGTAGTACCTTGGCATGAAGTGCCTAGAGCATAGTTGTTGTTTTAGGTATTTACATATAATTTATGGACTTTACAAGCACTTTTATAGTTACACTTTCTCAAACAGGATTAGTGTTTTTGTCCTAAAGTTTGCCTTTACCTTCTTTAGGCCCTGCTTTGGAAGTATTTCCAGCTCAGTAATTATATTCTTGAAACATTGCTTTATCATTTCAGATTTTTGACAGGGTTATCTCTACATGGAACTTGTGTTAGGTAAGAGTGAGTGAGTGTGTGATTGTGGTTTTACGCCGCTTTTAGCAATATTCCAGCAATGTCACGGCGTGGGAAACCAGAAATGGGCTTCCCACATTGCGCCCATGTAGAGAATCGGACCCGGGTCTTCGGCGTGACGAGTGAACACTTTAACCACTTGGCTACTCCACCGCCCGTTTCAGGTAAGAACAACTACTAACGCTTGCTTCAGCAAATGAACCGTTTATGTTGGAGAACCAATAGCAGGATGCCTTGTGCTGTATAAACCCAAGATGACAAGGCTGTGTACCTGGAAGAACAAGAGAAACAGTAGTGTCGTTAAGGCAGATACGCACCACGACATTAGCCCGCTTGATAAGGAATTAAGAAGGGGAGCCATAAAATGTCCCGATTACCTTGACGGGACGGACGCCTTGTCCACATGACCAAAGAGGTTAACCCCCATCAACAAGCTGACAAGGTAAGGGTGTCACCTGTTGGATACTATATACTTGTCCATCAACAGAAGGCAAACCCCGAGCCGCGTGGTAGGGTACAGAGCCTTTATTTGCTAAAATGTAACATGAACGTGCTCAGACCCACGTTGGCCGCCAATGTCACAGCCATAATGTGAGTGAGTTAATATTTTAAGTCACATCGGTAATATTTCAGCCATATCGTGACTGTCAAATGTTATACACGAATTGCATTTGAAACTAAAAAATCCTGTCGTCAAAGGACCGTACAATAACTAGAATATCACGGGTTTGTTTAAAACTAGTTTTAGAGCATGTAAAAATAACTATCATCAAAAAACACATATAAAAAAGGCTATAGTTCGCCAGCAGCTGAAAGGCGATCACCACACTAGGGACCATGGGAACAGTACTTTTGCTACCTGCATGGACCCATGCTACAACAGGATTTACATCATTCCTACTTGTGTTGGCGATTATTGACAAATTTAACCAAAATATAAAACAACATATATGTGACGATTCAAAACTTGGCAGTAATAAGTGTGCTTTGAATGATGTGGTCCTACGTACCATCTCCGGGGGACAATCTTTTCAACCCCCTTCGAGGATACAGCCACTAACAATCCCAGTTATCCAATTTATTCTACTAATATTAAAAAAGATAATTTATTAATAACAAAACACATATTTCAGAATTATTTAACATAATTTATTTAACAATTATATTTCTAAAAACTGAGAATTAAATGAGAGTTGATATTGTTAAAAAGTGATGAAACTTTAAAAATATTGATCCCTTATGATGGAAAAATTGTAGCAGCCATAAAGTTTTCGAGTAGCGTGGTGGGATTCGAACCACGGTCATTCTGATCCGAGGTCGGACGCCTTCTCCACATGATCAAAGAGGTTAACCCCGTCAGCAAGTTGACAAGGTATGGATGTCACCTATGGGATGACTCCAGGTCCTGTTTTAGCATGATGGGTAATTATGTGCCTCATTTAAAAGTACCTTTCACCCAAGATGTAGATAGTGTTAACACAATGCCATACCATGAGTAAAACTGTTTATATCACATGAAGGAAGTACTGGGAAAACAAGAAAAACATATGCTCCAAAAACAATTGCCCACATGCCAATGTTCTAGAATGTGCACACCCTGTTGCTATGATACAGCATTCAATTAATGTGGTTAAAAAGGGTATTGAGCATTTGAATCCTCATCAGATGCATGTGCGTGCCTTGGATGAACCACCATACACAATTGCTAAAACAATCCAGAGGACCTGTCCTGAAATATTTGATGAAGTTCCTTATCATGTTTGGTAGATTTACATATTTAAATAGTTGCTTTCGGGATTCTCAGAAACTGCCCAGACGTAAACAGATGGAAAACTGTAATCTGTGCTGCTGGAATTGCCTCAGGCAGATTTGCTGATTCCTACATCATGTGCAATAAAAGGAAACAGAAATGATCACAGAAGATCCTTTCAGAAACAGGTGTGCACCGAAGTAAGCTGGTCAGCCCCTGTTTCACTACTGGCCCCTTGTTCTTGAACAAGAACGTTGCATATTGTGCCTGGTGGGTGCAATTCAAAAAGCAGATTTTCCAAAGTTTGCACCATCACTTGTCCTATTAATGGCTTGCTTTTCACAGATATGTCCCTCTTACAGTAGAGCACGAGCACCGCTGTACCACGATTATTGTTCCGGTGGATTAGTGACACACAAGAGTAAACGGACATTCTCTGTTGTGGCACAAGGTCAAACACGTGAACAATTCAATGGCCATATGAAAGGAGATGGAGGTGCAGTTGGATTGACTGAAACAGCCGGACCCGTGAAGATCCGGAGTAGAATAGTGCTTCAGCAACCCATGCTTGCCGTAAAAGGCGACTGTGCGTGTCCTAAGAAGCGACTAACGGGACGGGTGGTCAGGCTCGCTCACTTGGTTGATGCATGTCATCGTATCCCAATTACGTAGATCGATGTTCATGATGTCAATGACTGGATTGTCTGGTCCAGACTCCATTATTTACAGACCGCCGTCATATAGCTGGAATATTACGGCGTTAAACAATTAACCAACCAACAAACAGTACGAAAAGATCTGTAAAAACATTTGTGTACTCAAGCCTAAAAGCAACATTGGGCAATGACGCACAGTGGTGTTATACTATAGGGTTATCGTATTTCTTCATGCGTATGTGTACATAAACAACTCGCATGGGCTATGGTGATTCGCATGACGCAAATACGCAGGTTATCTGGAGCACTTGAGAAATACAGATACATAAAAATATTGTACAGAACCTAACCCCTTCCCCTACCCCAAGGCTTATCGGAGAATATATCACACGAGCGATGTTCTCCCATTATCCAGACACCCAGTTGCCAGACAGTGGAATATTTAACTGCCACACACCCCTCCACTCATAATTATATGACCCAGACCCTGCCAATCCCAGCCAAGTTTGTAAGATGGGGCTTGGTGAGTACCACCCGAAAAATACAACTGGTATTGTTAGAAGGGGAAGCTTGCTGTGAGCGAATTTGGTTTACACGGGAGAGAGTTCAGTATTTTATTTATTACTCGTCATTTGTACCTACCTAAAACAGAAGCTGATTGACTCTGTAAGTCGCTCCTGAGTTCAAATCAGGTCATGCGTATGAATACAACGTCATGTAAATAGTCATCGTGAAGTGCAACTTTATTATGGGAATTTAAGCAATTCCATTGGGGAAAACACCCGAACACGCCTATTTTCCACAACAAATCTACTTCAATGAATTAACTGCGAAACTGCGGTGATGTTTCGAAAACAATAACACAACAAGTTTAATCGCTCGTTGACAAGGGCAAGGTCACAACGTCACATGACCGCAGGCAGAGACCGCATTCCCCCGATGACAGTCTGTTTTCAAACTGAATGTGTTGCGTTGTGCCACCAAAGTGTGTTCAAAATGGACTCGGGAGTTTCGAGACCTAATTCCCCGGATTTCCATAATGTGTCTATGTCGTTCTGACTGCGTTCGCATAGGTAAGTTTCCGAGGCCTTCTTGTTTTAGAATTTTTTGTTTGGTTTTCATAACCCCCCTAACATGGGCAAACTCTGTATGGGGCTTAATTGATTTCCCGTAAAATTTGGTTTTAAGGTGCCTGTCTATACATGACCATCCATTTGGACACAATCGTTTACTTTTATAGCTTAGGTTGCCATTGTGATAGGATCATTCACTTGACGATATATTCATCGTCTGCTATATGTACTTTAATTTTCATGTCATTTATTATTTCTAATTAATGAATATTTTCTCATTCGTATATTTAAAACATATTACTTTTTCGATCAGATAAGAATTCATCTGAACAAAACGTATTTAATAATCACGCCCTAGTGAGAATCGGTAAATTTTGACGGTAACCATTTTGTTAGGTCATGTGATTTATCATGTGGCCGGCCAACAATAGTTCCGTGTGCACGTGATGTTATCAAACAATGTGTAATACCGCTGCATGTTTTTACACAGGTGATCTCTTCACGGATGAGTATTAAATATATATATTATAATGGAAAACTTCTTTAACTGAGCAATATATTCCAAAATAAATCAATAATAAATCAAGAATAAAAACTAAATTGTATGAATTTTGTTTTCTTTTGTATCAGTTGTCAGACAGTCTTGGCGACAGGACTAGTCTATTCGAATTTAAGGGAATATATTACACACCTGATGTGCCCTCAAACATAAAAGTTGTTGTTTTTAGCTGTCTGACAAATGGGGGTGTCTCACAAAATGGAGATGACCACATGAGCACATCGCACATAAAAATATACATGCACGTGCACATACATACATGTTTTTATGTGACTTTTTCCCTCCCAGTTCTGAAACGTCCTTGTAAATATAGCTGATATTATTTAAATCAGGTTAGATTAATATACTTCCAGTCATATAAGTGTACGTGAAAACACCATGCTTACGCTAAAGTTTCATTCCACTGCATCACGTATGCACTAGTACACACACTACATGTGTAACCTGCAGAAGGTGGGAGGTTCGAACCCCGGCCTCGTCATTACCAAAAGACGTTGAAAGATAGTATTCATGTTGTAATTGTATTACATTGTTTCTGCTGCGATTCAGTAGAAGTTCATGGTAGTGTATTTTGCCAAATAATGAGTTGTCAGGAATATAGTACTATCTAATGTAAGCAGTAGTGTAGACGATACTATATTTAGATGCTTGTTCTTAATGTTCTAGTACTGCTAGACTCGTCCAGCACTGTATAGAAAATTCATGAAGATATTTAGACTATATACGTTGGCAAGAGCATGGCCATCACAACTCATCTCATCTCACAATTTACAAAGACCAGATTTTGTGTGAAGATTGCTGTTCACCCAGGATACCCACTGACCACTTGACCACTGTTGCTATTGGATGAATATTATTTCCATTACTTTCATGTTTTATACTACCATCGCTAGTGTACTGCCCTTGATTTTTTGTACTGCCGCTCTACTGTGTACTACCGATGTAATAATTTTGCAATAGTTTGTACTGAAATGTAAACCTAGTTCATTTCATAATACAATTGTTACTGGTAAAACGTGTTCACCCTGAATTATTCTGTGTACAGATTTCTCGGTGAACTCATTGTTTCAATTTGGAAATTGACACGTGACAATCTGATTTTTAAGTTGGTTCTGTGCTTTAGTGTTGTATTCTATCTTTCAATTTGGAACGGGGTAACTAATCCGTCACAAGAAAGCGACCCCACTTTTGAGGGATGGAGGTCTCTTACCCTTGCCCTAACAGCTTAAGTGATGTGTGTTCTGCTTTGAACGCTGATGGGGTAATTGACCCAAATTGAGGAAAACGCTGTTCCGCCGTCTAAGTCCCCATGGTACCTAGTATGGTGACCTACCTTTGGTTATTGGTGATCTATAGCCCATTTTTATTGTGTACTGTACTGAATTGTTATGAACTTTATTCTGATATGCTAGTTTTAAATCTACATCTGTGATAGTCTAGTGTTTTTACTGTCCTTTATCGACAGATTTTACTGTCTCTATGTATTAATATATAACTTGATTTAGTCACTATATGGCTGAAATATTGCCGCTGTGACTTTAAATATTAACTCACTCACTGTTCCGCCGTCCGTGTAGAGTTTCAACGTGTTTCACTATTTTCGAATGATGCACTTTACCTGGATGTAATGTTTCTCGAATGTTGCTGAGGTTGCTACTCATTGCATGCACATGATGTGATATAATTCAGTGTGTTCTAAAAAAAAGGTGTGGCATCTACTACTATTTGTATTGCCTATATCAGCGATTTTACATTGGTGACTACCCGTGAAGATTCCGGGGTAGAATATATCTTCAGCAACCCATGCTTGCCGTAAAAGGTGACTGTGCTTGCTTGATTGATGCATGTCATCGATCCCAATTGCGTGGATCGATGCTCATGATATTAATCACTGGATTTGACTCGATTATTTACAGACCGCCGTCATATAGCTGGAATATTACTGAGTGCGGCGTTAAACAGCAAACCAACGTTGGTGACACCAACGATTATGCTGTAAAGATACAAAGATTAGCCAGAACTGTTGATTTAAAGTTAATCATTTCATTTTTGGTGACCTATCTCCACAATAACAAGGTATGTATTCCTAATATTTAAGTATTTTATCTTCACCAGAAGAATTAGTAAACGCCTCCACAGGTTCCACGAACTTATTCAGTTATTACAGCAGAAATGTAAGATGAGTATTATATTGTATTGTATTGAAGTCGGATCAACTAACCTACTGTCATGTGGCAGAACAACAGGTAAACATTTAGTATCCTGTAATCAGTCTTATACTGAATAAAAACGAAAAAAAAGAAAATAAAAAGATACAAAGATCGCAACCGTGTCAATATTCATTATGTTAAAAAACGGAACATACTTCTAACTGTAGAATGCATTTTGATTAATGGGTATTTAAAAAAGGCCGGTGTAGTGATTATGTTTTGAATCGGATCGGAATCGGAATTTCATGAGCATATTTCAGTGACACAATAGCTGGGATCATTACCTTATTCGTTATGTCAAGCCAAGATGATAAATAGAAATTAACAAAGTAGATGCTTATTGAAACCAGTCACAAGGAGTTAAAATTTGAGTTCAAGTGGGAGGGGAAACGACTTACTAATTCAGTACGTACAAAAAGATAAAGAATTATGAGAAAAATATAGGACTTATCGTTAAGAGGTGAGGTGAGGTGAAATGGGGGTTAACGTCACATCCAAGATTATTGCACTTATATAGCGACGCGCATGTAAGTGTGTGTGTGTTTATGTGGCTGCTTGTCCTAGTCCGGACTGCTGCCAATTTATAGTGCTAGCTCAATGAGATACCATGCCACAGTTTAACATGAACATCCCACTCAGACACAGTATACTGACTCCGAGCCGACCAGTTCTTGTTTTAGCCCCTTAATGCCGAGCGACAGACAGGGTAACAACAAGTACCATCTTTTAACGGTATGACGCGGGCGGGGATCGAACCCCGGACCTTCCGCTCTCCGGGCGGATGCTCTACCACTAGACTACGGAGGCGATCTTATCGTTTAGATGCTGTAATCAACATAATCATATATAAAGAAGAGAATAATATATTCATGCAATTCACCTGATGAAGGAGTAAGCATATTCTCCGAAACGTTGTGTTTCTCATAATAAAGAAGTTGACATCCATTTTTTCTCTTCCTTATGTGTATCACTTCTAAATGCCTTTCAAAGACCTGATTATCATGTATGAATATATTGAAAATGACACGATTGACCGATGTTTCACCATTGTTTCTGTGCGCAACCTGTCATTCAGTTAGCAATGCTCTCATCATTTACTATGGTTACAAGACGTGCAAAGATAGAAATAATAAATGTCAGAATCGGAGCACATATTATGGGCAAACGTTCAAAACTAGAATTTGAGACAGTGGCTTAGAGTTTGCTTTTGTTTAAGAGAACCTTACCACTCTGCAATACCGATATGAAATTCACAATCGTTTTGTCTATATTTATATTCAGAAGCAGGCCTCAAGGCCATATACTGCATGCGTTACCAGCCATCATATAGCTGGAATATTGATGACTGCGGCGTAAAACAACAATCCAACCAAACGAAGCATGCGTTACCCTGTATTTACTAAGAACCATACCCGTGAAGATCCGGGATAGAATAGGTCTTAGCAACCCATACTTGCCGTAAAAAGCGACTTTGCTTGTCGTAAAGGCGATTAACGGGATCGGGTGGTCAGGCTCGCTGACTTGGTTTGATGCATGTCATTGTAACCCAATAACGTACATCGATGATCATGATGTCAATCACTGGATTGTCTGGTCCAGACTCGATATTTACATAACGCTGTCATAAAGCTTGAATATTGCTGAGTGCTGCGTTAAACAACACACACACACACACACACACACACACACACACACACACACACACACACACACACACACACACAAAACAACAACAAACAAACAAAAAAACAAAAAAACAAACAAAAAAACTGACACATGCCAAATACTACCCTCACTTGTTAACGTCAATGTATAAATGTAAGTAGTTACCTGCAGTAGCTGATGCCAGTGAGCACAGAAGTACAGCCAGGAGCTGGAGCCGCATGGTTCTGGGTGTCAGCCGTGTACAGCTGCAATCTGACAGGGACACGCCAACTCGAATATTACAACAAAGTTTGAAGATCCGGGAAAAGAGAGAACGTGTTCCATATTCACAGGTATATGATCAAGGACCTAACACATACAGGTATTGCATATCAGCGCCAGCTAATGTACATCCGTGAACAAACACCTGCTGACAATAGGATATGAGGGTTTCACACCTCCCTGGTTATTGTTACTGCAGCACTTGCCGTTATCTCAGTCACGGGTATCAGGCGTTATACCATAATCAAGTGTTGTGTCACAGCTTGTGTGAAATTGAAAATGACAAATAATTTTCCAAAGGCTAAGATGGTTTATAATATAGAACCATAGACTCATAGAGAGACGTATGCACGTTAAGATGAGATGTTTTCAATGTGCACCACATAATGACAAAACTAACAACCAGAGAATCTTAAGACAGCGTGTATGTATTGTTATCACGATATGCTGCATGTGATTTCCAAACTTTACACGATAATCCTGCACGAGACGAATGGTGCACCTCAAGTCATTGATCGATGACGTCACAAGTGATGCGTTCATGACCGTCGGTTAACGCAACATAACAGTATGTTTGTGCATCGAACCAATCTAATATAGCTTGAATTTGAGTAATTCTTCATATATCAACCAGCATGTGTGGTGTTCGCGTTCTTTTGGTGGTGAGTATGTAAGTGTTATTATGGTAAAGACGACGTGGGTTTGTTTTGTTATCATTACCGTGTTTAGTTACTCATACAAACAGTGAGTGAGTTTGGTTTAGTGCCGCTTTTAACAGTATTCCAGTTATATCACGGCGTGTCAGCTTAATGTGGGAGGAAAGCCCGAAGTGATGCAGGTCTCTCACGTTTAGCACTTCGGTGAAACCCACGAGCACGGGTATGGTGCTGAGAGACCTTGAAACACAATCAGAGCGAACCGAGATTAGAACCCAAGGTTTGTGGAGTGCCCAAGTCAAGCAACTCTGCATAATCGAGTCTGAATCAGACAATCTAGTGATTGATATCATGAGCATCGTTCAACGCAATTGGGATCGATGAAATGCATCAACCAAGTCAGCGAGCCTGACCACCCTATCCCGCTAGTCGCCTCTGCCGATTACAGCAAGCATGTGTTGCTGAAGACCTAACCTAACCCGGAATCAGGATCTACCCGATTCCGTTACGACAAGCATAGTCGCCTTTTACGGCCAGCATTGGTTGCTGAAGACCTATATGAAACTAGAGGGGGAAACAATACATAACCACACCCGCATGAAGGAGCACTGCTGAACTTCGAAGTTGGATTTACTTTGCGCTGCTACACGCGTCCGCGTCCGCGACTGCCTCTGTAAAGTCTATAATTTACCACCACACTTCATCTGCAATATACAGCAGTGATCTATATTTCCACTGGTGGCAAATAAACCAGTGTTCTCGAATTTCAAATATCACCTCAGCAGTCATCAATGATAGAACTAACATCTGCTGCCGTGAGAGTACACACGTGGTTAAGCGTGAAAGCCATAGATGGTTTAGAGATAATATACTCTTTTGGCTTTATGCTGACGACACATTCATAATTCCGAGGACGTATATAATACAACGTGCGGGATCAAGTCTGAAACTGAGCTGTGTACTGCGGGTTAGATCAGAAGAACCATGCGTCTTGTTCACCTCGTTGTCTTCTTGTCGATGCTGACATTAGCAGATGCAGGTAACAGCTGGCTTTGTTGATGGACGATTCTCAAAGTTCATAAATTTATGTAGATTGTATTTACTTTCATCTATCAATGGTTTTATACAGAAAGTGTTATTTGTTAATGTCTCTTTTACTATGAACGTTGGTAAACGTATACTTTGTTCTGTAGTGATGTAAATGTCAACCCGCAAACTCACTCGTGGACGATTCTTCCCTCGACTAGGCTAAATAGATTAACTGACTCTCTACCAGATAATATTCAGAGAATATGACTCGTTGCTTGTCGTCACAATGCTCCATGTCATCCTTTCCTATGACTAGTACAGGGAGATTTCACTCCTCCTTACTCACTGGCACTTACTTTTAAGGCACTTACCCAATCCGAATAGGTATTCAACTTGCCATAAAGGGCGACTTTGCTTGTCGGGTGGTGAGGCTCGCTGACTTGGTTGATGCATGTCATCGTATCCCAATTAAGTGGATCAATGCTCATGATATCAATCACAGGATTGAATTCTCGGGTCCAGACTCGATTATTTAACCAACAGCATCATATAGCTGTAATACTGCTGAGTGCGTACTGCTACATTCGCCCTGACCAGCCATCTTCCATCAATTCAAATTGCCTTAATATAATAATCAAGAGAATTGCGTGTGCTCTTACTATAGGGGTGAATCACGCGTCGATGTACGGCACCATGTGTTTGATCGTGTTTCTAACCATGAGCCATTGGTAAATGTGTCTTGCAACGTTTGAGTATGTTATTGCAAGCTTGAAATGTGTCTTGCGACGTTTGAGTATGTTATTGCAAGCTTGAAATGTGTCTTGCGACGTTTGAGTATGTTATTGCAAGCTTGAAATGTGTCTTGCGACGTTTGGGAATGTTATTGTAAGCTTGAAATGTGTCTTGCGACGTTTGAGTATGTTTTTGTAAGCTTTAAATGTGTCTTGCAATGTTTGAGTATGCTATTGCAAGCTTGAAATGTGTCTTGCGACATTTGAGTATGTTTTTGTAAGCTTGAAATGTGTCTTGCGACGTTTGGGTATGTTATGTCAAGCTTGAAATGTGTCTTACAACGTTTGAGTATGTTATTGTAAGCTTGAAATGTGTCTTGCGACGTTTGAGTATGTTATTGCAAGCTTGAAATGTGTCTTGCAACGTTTGAGTATGTTATTGCAAGCTTGAAATGTGTCTTGCAACGTTTGAGTATGCTATTGTTGTTGAAGGGAAGTCTCGCTGTCCAGTGGGTTTTATTCAACACGGACGCTCCTGTTACTGGTTCTCCAATGTGCGAGGATCATTTCCAGAAGCTGCTGTAAGTTTTTAATATAAATTGTGAGTCATTTTAATTATGAAAAACTGTCAAAGGTTTGTACATTCACTGCAGCCTCTGATTGGGTATATGTTGTGTTTTTCAGATCTACGATACAATTGTCCAAAGGGTATCTTACCAATTAGGAAAAACATTCTTCTTCATGCTACCATATAGCAAAAGCAGATTAGACACTTACCAGGTTAACTTTATTTTCTTTCAAAAAGGGTGTCTAGTTTGTCTACTGGCAATTTTCATTGATTCCCTGATTAAAATTGCCATGCTACTCAAAACAATTCTGTCAGTGCCACGTTTTCTATTATGATTTCTGAGAGCAAATGGTCAACATTTTGTCATGTTACTGTGTTGTCAATACAAGTATATTGTTAGGCGGACTATTAATGTCAATATGTATTTTTAATACTGAATTTTATCCTACAAAAATTATAATATAACACCAATAATTTCATTTGATCCTTCAAATGTGCATCACCTTTCAGAGTTACTGTCGGTATTTCGGGAGCCACCTTGCGATAATAACGAGCAGGGATGAGGACAGTTTCATCAGAGGCTATGCAAGCCGCCATGGTAAAGGTGAGGCGTCACACTCTTTGAAACATTCGTTGAAAAAACATGCTCATTGTTACCTCAAAAGTTGTGGTTGCTGGAATATTGCTCGGCGTACAGGAAAGGTTGAGCAGCATATATACCCAGTGACACCCAGTCTACGCAACTGCCCAATGCGTGCAATGGAAAATACAGCTTGTCCAGTGCATGCAATGGACAGTGACGTGTCTGTGTTTTAAAATCTTATTCAAAGAAGTCAAAAAGAACAATGTTATTTTATAACGATCTATTCACCGAGTTATTTCACAAAGAAACTCAACATGGTGGTGAAAAGAAGACGCACAAGAAACGGTTAGACAAGTATGCCCATATCCCCCGAAGCTTCATATCATCATCTCCTGTGCGAACTGTGAACTGAGCGGTGATGTGATTCAGAGACTCTTTATATGCAGATAACACTGCTTGATATGTGTTTTTATTTTAGAAGTTTTTTAAGATCACATATTTGTTTGGTTGTTATTTATTACAGTTTATTCACTTAATAGTAGAGTTTTATTTATTAATAACAAAACATGTAAAACAATACCAATTTCAGTTGCGTGCATTGGCCAGAACAATCACCTGCCCATTGCGTGAAATGAGCAAGCTAGTTGCCCATTGCGTGAAATATTTGGAGAATTATTTTTCCTTCACAACAACTGCCCATTGTGTGCAATGAGCAGATAATTGTTTGCACTTTGCGTGCACTGGGCAATGGGCAGTTGCACAGATTGGGTGTTTTGCATTGTTGAGTCTATGGCCTTGAGTGTGTATTTGACCAAGAGGTATCCAATTAATTTTCCCAGGGTAATTCTCAAACCTGATGTGGGTGAATTTATTATAAAAACGTAAATATGGCATACTCATTGGAAGAAAGGCACATATTACCTGCCATTCAAAAGAGCTTATATACATAAGAGGGAATTTTAGTGATTGCGAGGACACATTATGAATGACCGTCATTTTGATCTTGACCCAACACAGATGTTGCTAACTTTTTCTGATCCTTTTCTGGATGTCATGTGCCCACAGCTTCCAGCAGCATTCTTGACGACAGTAACCAACTACCATGATTGTAACTAAATGCTGCTTCAGTCGTACATATCTAAAATACGTATCTGTCAGGTCCCCACTACTGGATTGGTGCCACGGATCTGATCCTAGAGGGAAGGTGGCTGTGGGAAGGACACCATCCTGTGACCTACACAAATTGGAATCCTGGGCAGCCTGACAATGCTTATGGTAGGACTGAACACTGCCTGGAGTTGAGGCAGTCATATCACTACAGATGGAATGATTATATCTGTGACAAGAAGTTGCAATTTATTTGTGAAACAGAAGTTTAAATAATTTCCACATGGCAGACACACGGATCATGTTTGTTTGACAATAAACGTGGGAATTAAGTTAAGTTGTGTTTTGTTTTGATTCTTCCATACAATGGTGTTTAGCAACAAGATTTGCTGAATTCAATTTCATCCATATTGTATCAGATAATAAACACCTTTGAAAATGTTGAGTCCCATTTACTATGTTCTTGTGTAATGTAACTTTTTTCCTGAAAGGGGTCATGGGTGGCCCAGTCGTCTTAGGCGCCGCGATTCGCTGTGTAGAGATGCGTCACTTGGGCACGCCAGAAACCTTTGATTGTGGGTTCGAATCCCGCTTCGCCACGATTATGTTTCTAGCTTTGTAACCACCATTCCCGTGCTCGTGGGTTTCAAATGTACCTGGCTGTTGGACACTTGTGTCAAAATTAGATCAATGTCGCATGGAAGGTTAAACATATATGAAAGAAAGGAGCTTAACTGATTTTCAAGTGTATCAGAGCATCTAAGTGCGAACAATGTTTTTCTGAGGATGCTTCGAAAAAATATAAAAGGGGGGTTAAATTGGACGTAGTGAGTCACTGTGAGCCTATTGCTGAGGGGGATTGGTGAACATCAGTAGAAAAGATCAGAAGGTCCACTTAGTCTTAACAGGAAGGTTTGGTGAACAACAGAAAACAAATATCAGTTGCTGATCCAGTAAGCCTTCACAGGAAGCTTTGGGTTGAGTTATCAGGATTTGGCAGACAGGGAGATGAGAGTCAACGTGACCTCACCCGCAATACGTGTCGACGTGGACGACTCAGGGTGCACGTTTAGCACTCACGGCGAGGGAGCAAAGAACACTGTGTTGATCTTCATGATTTTGGATTGAGAACAGAAATCATTAAAGTAATAAATTATTTGGTACCTGTAGGGAAGGTCTGCGATTGAAGTCCCTTCTTCGTCTGGGAATCTGTATTCATTATAGCAACATGTAGAATGAATGAATAATTATTATTGATATAACAATTTCGATTTTTAGATATCAATAAATTCGATATGAATTTTATGATACTAATAGAATGCATGTATTGACATATAAAGTCGAATTAAGTTATCATGAACTTTTATCATCACTAAAGAAGGTTCATGGTTTTGATGGTAAAAATAAATCAAACCATTTTCGAATAATACAAAAAAAGCATTGAAAAAATATACACAAAACACTTATAATGTGCTACTGTTATCGTGTACGTAATTATTGGTTATGCCTAAAACGGGCCCTTGTCAAAACATTCTGAAATGAAAACACCCTCCGAAGATTGTCAGAAACAGGTCCATATGAAACATATAAATATATATACCACTGAGCATTAGTTAGCACCACCCACGTTTTCAGATAAGTGCTACATTAATGAATACCTGGTGTTATTCATTGATGGAAACAAGGCATAGAGAGTAGTAAACTGACAATCAGAATGCCAGGTTCTTCTATCACACAGTTAATTAAGCTGGCACTAGCGAGCAGTAACGTTTGATTGGCGTTATTCGAAGAAACGTTCCTTTTATCAATGCTGAAAAATATCAGCTTTTGTTTGTTGTTCAAAGCCGCACTCAGCAATATTCCAGCTATATGAGGGCAGTTCGTACCAGACAATCCAGTGATTGACATCATGAACATCAATCCACGGAATTGGGACACAATGACATGCCAAGTCAGCGAGTCCGGCGACCCGATCTCGTTAGTCGCCTCTTACGACAAACATGGGTTGCTGAGGACCCATTGTAACCCGGATCTTCACTGGTTTTGTCCCCAGATCATACTTTGAATCGGACTGTCACGTTTTGCTGTGGGAGATCAGTGTCAACCTGGGAATCACCACTGACGCTGCAATCAGTATCTGGCGTATCAACTCCCCTATCTTCCCGAGGCAAGAGAGTTAACTGACTTTAAAAGTCCAGTTTCCACCCTTGCCGAACTAGGCTGGAATTCCTGGGCTGGATCGTAGCAAGACCAGTGGCTATTACGAGATATGTCCTTTCTATGCCTCTCCTATTGACCAACCAGATTCAACCTCTCGTATCTGGAGTATCAACTCCCCTCCCGGATGACATTCTCCTCATGCTGCTGATTAGTCGTCCGATTTTCAACTTTGGGATCCTGTCATTCGTGGTGCAATGCATAGGTCAGTTCATTTGAACTGTTGAAAAAAGTCCCTGTGACGGATTAGGAACACACTGTGAGACTCGTAATAACCAGTTTAACAAATGTAAGATAATTTAAAAAATAATATGTTGAGACTAGTTAACTAAACAAAAACAGTGCTCAGTTCAAGCAGTATTAGAAGCGTCTCTGTATCCTGAAAGCTGAATTAGATCATTCTAGGATGACTACACAGCTTACCTCACTCTCACTAACTTATGTCATCTCAACCATCCCAAGCAAAATGCTATATTACAATCTGCCTCCCATCAGACGCTTCTGCCTCGTGTTGAAAAGACCGAGAGCTTCTGCAAATGATAATGCCCTGAAAAAGAGCGTTACCGTTATTATAGCTAAAATGAATGGAATTTGTTATCAAATAAAAAGAAACAACAACATCGGTTTTGAAACATTTACTGCAATCAACACGAATGTCACTGACCACATTTTACAAATATGGAAACGTCATAGAACAAACCAGATGACGTCATTATAGTACGTGACGTCATTTTCTCTACCCTATGACGACACATAACAACGGACTTGATAATGGCCCGTCGTCAAGCAATATGAGGGCATTATCAAGTTACAGTGGCCCGCTAATTTCTGATAACGTGCGGGCGGTTTAATGATAATTCTATCCATTTTAGCTATAAATATATATATAAACCATATCAAAGATAGTTTATCATAACAATATTATTTAAAACCCGCACAGGCTATAAGCCAACAACAACCAAAGCGATATAACTGGAATACTGTTAAAAGTGGCGTTAAACCCAACTCACTCACTCACTCACTAGGGATGATGAGGACTTATGGTGCCTCAACTTCCTGAGCCATACCCCAGCAGGATTTACATCACCAATCATCTTGAAGGTAAGTTTAATTCATTGATGTTTATTTTGTGAATAAAGTGTTAATAAGCCCTTCAATATATGACATGAATGAACAATTTACACTGAATTATTAACCCTGTATTTGCTATTTCTGAGGTCGGAGTATTCATCATAGGGTCGGACATAAGCCCCTTGACATCTGAAGATTCATCCCGGCCAGTTACTTGCCTTGTCAAGGAGGGCCAGCTTTGAACCCATTTGCAAATTATGGCCACCATCTTCCATTTATCTGTGTTCGAGGTCGGACTTGTGATTACATGAATTCCCAGGCAGTTATAAACTCATCTTCAGAGAAAATGAATTGACTGAAATTAGATTGTAAAAGCACAAGGTATTGTTAATGATTCATGAGCATATGGTGTATTTATGAATGTGATACTTATAATGAATAATATATAATGTATGCGTTTGTAGGAAGAACCAGGGAACCAAAATGAGAAGATCGATTCTGTAAATATTAATTTCACAAATTGATTGATGCTGAAAATTACATTTGTGATCAAGTGTGTACAAATTTTCTCTAAAACTAGGTCCCCGCTGGGCACGACCTATTGTTATGAGACAGCTACGCATCAGGACACCTATCAAACTGTTTCAACATCTTGCCTACACTTTACACAGTTTGACCAAGTGTTTTTACCTTGTGTAGTATTTATGTTGATGTTGATGTACTTGTAAATCAAGGGGTTGAGATCGGACTATTTGGAAGGTCATGGGAGAAGTGTCGTCTTCTCATTTTGAAGATAGTAAACAGTGCCATGTGCAGTATGTGACTTGTCACTATCTGACTGAGACATGTCCCTCAGATGGCCAACAATGGGAACCATGTGATGCCGTAAAATGTCATCCCTGTAGCAAATAGCTGTTAAATTCCAATGTACGTGCACAAGTTTTGATCTCTTCGTGTGTATATGGCTCCCCACACCATGACTCTCCACCAAATCGGTCAAGTTTTTGTGAGGCAATTTTAGGCAAAATGGTCATTTGCAAACCTGTAGAGGCGTGGTCGTTGAACCGAAAATCCATCACAAAGCTAAACGCATCGCCTGTATTGCAGATTCTAGAATCAAACGTTGTTGCACTTTTGAACCCGTCGACATTGATTTAGCCATCTAAGCACTTTGCTATAATAGGGTCTTCAAGTCACAAGCAAATGATTTTTGACTGTTTGTACCAACGCTATTCTCAGGCCTGGTAGTGCAAATCTCACACAGAAATGACTTTACAGTCATGAATGGTTCTTTTAGTGGGTACAAATGTTACAACACCATTTCGGAATCCGCAAGACAACCTGACTGATTTTACAGTTATGAATGGTGTTTTGACACGGTAAAACCCTTTTCATGAACATAAAGGGGCATTTAGTTGATACAAGTGTTACAAGCCAACACCACTTCCGAATCCGCATGACAATCTGACTGATGCTACAGTTATGAATGGTGTATTTTGACACCCTTCTCATGAACATAAAGGGGCATTTAGTTGATACAAGTGTTACAAGCCAACACCATTTCTGAATCCGCATGACAATCTGACTGATGCTACAGTTATGAATGGTGCATTTTGACACCCTTTTCATGAACATAAAGGGGCATTTAGTTGATACAAGTGTTACAAGCCAACACCATTTCTGAATCCGCATGACAATCTGACTGATGCTACAGTTATGAATGGTGCATTTTGACACCCTTTTCATGAACATAAAGGGGCATTTAGTTGATACAAGTGTTACAAGCCAACACCATTTCTGAATCCGCATGACAATCTGACTGATGCTACAGTTATGAATGGTGCATTTTGACACCCTTTTCATGAACATAAAGGGGCATTTAGTTGATACAAATGTTACAAGCCAACACCACTTCCGAATCCGCATGACAATCTGACTCTGTCATGTGCAGCTGCACACTGTTATCAAAATTTCCTCAGCCCCTGTTCATAAAGATGTAATCTTTACTTGCATTATCTAATCTATTTTGCAAATCAAGACATGGTTCTC